ATGAAATGTTCGCCTCTATGAGGCTCATCTATTGATCCAAAAAAATCCCGAGGAAGCCGAGGAATGTCCTTTCAGATTCCTTCTGAAGTTCAGGATTTTGGAGTGTTTTCGAGTGTTTTGACCTGTATTTGACCCTCGAGAGTGGTTTATACATACGAATTCAGGATGAGCCCCGAGACCCGCGGGACAGCCCGTCGGGTCGGGGGGTCGTTCTGGCCTTCGAAGGGTCGCAGAACCGCGGGGATTATCGGGCCCGGGAGTCGTTCTGAGAGTCAAAAGAAAGTGACTCTCCTCGGGGAACCCGAGGAAAAATCAAGCTGTAAAAAGCGGATAAATACACGCTTGGGAGAGGTTGTGCTCAGCGGTTTCTGCCGGAAATAGCCGGGGACTCGGGGATCCCCGTAATTTCCCGGGGATTTGGTAGTTCGTCGGGGGTCAGGGTATGGGAGCCGGGCTTGACCTATGAGCCAGAAAAAGCTCGGGGAATACCGGGGTCGGTCCTCGTTCTGACTTTTGAAAAAAAGTCGGTGGGCCGGGCAGCCCAGTCCCCGGCATTCGGGGGTCGGGGCTCATCCTGAATACGAATACAAGGCAATTTCATCAAAAACTTCAAACTTCAGAAGCCAGTAGAGGAGGAATTCCTCGGCTTCCTCGGGATTTTGTTTGATAAATCGATGCGCCTCAGAGAGGCGAACATTTCATTTCTTTGCATCTCGATTTTTCACAAATAGGGGAAAAAGTTTTATAAGGAAGGCAAATTTCTCCTGCAAAAACTGGTTCCCCTCACAGGCAAAAGTGTGCCTCGTTGTCATAAGTCCCTCGCTGCGCTCGAAGCGTGCGAGACGCAGCGTGGGACTTTGTTGAGTTTAATGGTACACTGCCCTACACTGCCTCCGAGTCCAAGTTTTAATCTTTTAACATTTCAATTGATCAAACCATCTTTGTAGATCTTTGTACTCCCCTCCGACATGAACTGACATTCACATGAACAATTAAACTCAACAAAGTCCCACGCTGACTCTCTCACGCTTCGAGCGCAGCGAGGGCGTTATGACTGCAATGCAGATTTTGCTTGTGGGGATGGCATTTTGGCTGGTGAAAACCGGCCACCTTACGAATCTTTTTCACATATTTGTGAAAATCCTTGAACCAATGAAGACCTTTGCTTGAGGCCCTTTGAATTATCAATGAAAAACCTGAGCAATCCGAGGAATTTCCCCTCTCTGGGCTCCTGAGATTTCAGGTTTTGGTGTAATTTTTGTAACAGACTGCACCAGGCTTTAGCACGACTGCGGGCAAAAAAACAGAATAAACCTGTGAATGTTATGCCGGGCTGGTAGCACCAAAGAACTATTTTGAGGTCAATGATCAACCCTGGATCACCCCGTCTCGTGACATACATCATCCTTCCTTGCCTCAAGTCTCTGATTCAACTACCTCTCAATCACCTTTCGATCACCAAGACAACTGCCGTCAACACAAAGCAAATCAATGTTGAGCCAAATGTGTTTCCTTCAGGTGTGTGACCAAAGATACACCAGGGGGTAAGAGCATCCACAGTGGTCACCTGATTTTTGGATTTAGGGGCTTAAAAAACATGTTGCACAGCAGTGCACCTAAAGTTGGGGGTCAAGACTTGATTGAGCGATATGAGAATGCTTATACTCACTCCGTGAAACTTCTAAGGGCTGACCAACATAGTATTCCGCAATTTAGCTAGGTGTAAATTTGTTCATTACATGGGACATAGCATCAAATGAGGTATATTCTGCTAGTACAATACAGAACCTACGGCGTCCACTAAAGGGTTAAACAGAATCAACTGTCAAAGTACTACACAACTTAAAACAGGGTCTAGAACAATATCAAATGACTAGGAGGAGTAGTTTTTGATCAGCTTTACTTAAAATCAGATCAGCTTTGTCATGTTCAAGAAGCCTGCCATCTGTTGAACCGTGCAGCAGCTTGGGTTGTGAATCCACAGTTAGCTTCCCTGTATTTTTCAGCCTCTGTCAACCAGCCTGAGATCTATTCACATCACCAATTTCAGTCAAGTTCGATGTTAAGCACAATGATCCAGACCAAAAAGAAACCTCACATACATTTTGTATCCGACGATCATGAGCGGGGTGAGTTTGTAAAAATTCGGTGATCTGAGCCGAATGCTTAGAGCGATGTTCATGATCTTCCATCCTTTTCCACATTCGCACTGCTTCTGTAGGATCATAACATGCCTTGGCCATGATGTTCAGCCCAACCTGATCAGCTTCATGGAGGAAAAATTAAATCAGCAATTCTTTCGACCAGAGTCAGAGATGCCTTTAGAATTGACTAGACGCTGACCTTCGACTTCGCTTGTTCTGGAGTTTGGTAGTGTCATCAGCAAAGTTACAAGCGCTCGTGAGAATCCAAAGTCAAGGCCAATGATGCTGAGGACTGTAGTCAATAAGAAGACCACTTTCATGGAAGACATTCGTTCAGCGGTATGCCTCAAGACTTGATGCGCTACCTCATGTCCAAGGACCGTGGCTAGACCGGATTCAGTTTTACAGATCGGCAGAATGCCGGTGAATACAAAGATCTTTCCTCCAGGAATCACAAACCTGGAGGTTATCGCATCTAAGCATCAGGCATGAAAAACCCGTTGCAAAATCGGGTTACAAAGTTCAATGAAGATTACTCACGCATTCTGAATTCGGGGCTCATCAATCACGTGTATTTTCCAATCTGGAAGATTTTCGCGTTTGGCATTCATGACACCAGAGTCTGACCAAGATTGATGGTTAAGAAAAGGGTCATCACCCAACTCAGAGTCGGAACCAAGATTAGATGCCTTGATAATTTGATTGGCAACTTTGGTCACATAGATCGAGGTAGGATGAGAAGAGGGTAAGATCTTGTTTTGATATTGTGCTAAAGTTTGCGCATAGACTTGACGGCCAGTCTTGATAGTGGATCAGATAATCAGTCAGATTCTTGTGATATGATATCCGTATTTTTAAAAAGATGATCTCACAGCAAGTTCAGATGCGACACTGGTATCCATAAATCTCAATCTGCCTGTCTGCTCCACTGTCTCCAAATGGCTAACAAAATATACACCGCCTCCTCCGGCAAGCCACCAAATCCAATTTGGAACTCCGCGAAAAGCACGATCGAAATTGCCATTATTACTTGACGGGAACTTGATACTCCCGACCAACCGTGGTTGTTGAGAGGAGGTCCTGGGAGGTTCACCGAATCTACGATAGGATGCCTTGTGCGTTGAGCTGGTACCAAACGCTCGAAATTGTGTCGCCCTCATCCTGCCACCGTTGATTGACTGGATCTGACTCTGACCAGTAAGGCGCGAGAGATATCTTCCGCTTAATTTGATGCCGTGCTGCACCAAAACATGTTTGTGCGGTCCTTTCGGAAATATATGGAACATCATACGATGTGGAGAATGTCTTGATTTTCGTCAGGTGATAAAGCAAGCGGGTAAAGGTTAATTATCGAAGTCAAGCGCCAGACGTGAAGCAGTCAATCGACTTCCTCATGAGTCCAAATGGTCTCGCGGGGGAAACGAGCATTCACTTTGTAGACGACTCGCTGGGAAGGGGTGCACTTCGTATCCAAAACTGCAAAGACAGCCGTTGTACGTATAAGCATATAACCATGCACTGCGCGTGTAGTATGCTAATAGTGAATGAAGACCCTTCCTGAGCAGTGATCACGAATAGAAGTTTAAGATTTCAACCAAAACATCTCAAGATGAACTCATATCGTAGACAATCTAGAGCACTCTTGATCGCCTTTCCCCTTCAACAAGCAAAACAACTTCGGTATATCTCAAACAAAAATATCAACACCGACGTAAACAATCACAGTGAATCATCCTCAACCCAGGCGCTAAAATCTGATTCAACAACACGAGACTCACCTCAACTACCCTCGAGACGCAAACCAGAATGGTTAATTCAAAAACAAGCTCTCAAGGAATCATTTCCGACAGGATGGAATCCACCCAAAAAAATCAGTCGACCAGCAATGTCACTTCTCAAATCACTTCACAAAGAAGACCCCCATCAATTCTCCCTTACGATGCTTTCAGATAGATTCAAAATCAGTCCAGAGGCAGTACGAAGAATACTCAAATCTAAGTGGATACCCGATAGAATTACTACTGAGAAGATTATACAAAAATCTGGATCGAAAGGAATCATGGCCGGGGGTGATGCGTGGATTCATCATGAACAACTAGAGACTGAGTCCATTCCATCCAATCTCGCTTCGACCCTTAGAAAAGAGAGCAAATTCGAGAGATCTAAGGCAATGGAATCTGATTTATCGATTCACGATGAATCTCATCAAATATGGGTCGATCCAGACATTCGGGATACTACCGTGCGGTCAATTGATCCTGAGGAAATTGATTGTAAATGAATTTATCACAATTCCAATCACAGGTAGCTTACATTGTCTTCTTTGTTCAGGGAACTCGTCCTCCTCTTCGAGTGCGTTCCATCAGCATTCAGTTAAACCGTTTTCAAAACCTACCATGAGCGGTCGCCCGCTTAATAGGGATTCAACTCGACAAACGTTCAATTCATTCCAAAACAGAAGTTCTGGTCAAGCAAACCGGTCTCAAAGCCCGCGTTCCTCAGCCCTGGGAAGCGCCTTCAAGCTGACGCCCAATCAGCCTGCGTCTCTGCGTCACAAACGACCAACGCGATCTATAGATGTCGGAAGACGACGAGATCAGCGACAACCTCGCTCTGAACGCCAGTCACAATTTTAAACCTAGCATTCCACCTTAGCCATGCTATACAAGTAATATCCATTTCCATCACAAGTTTATCAATTTCTCATCAAATGAAAAAAACCTATCTTATCGCCAATACCCAAATCCCCTGTAACATCGCTGTAATATTATATTGATCAAAATGTTTCCTTTGAAGAAGCGTGCGAGATACGTTCAACTTTCACTCAAGAGACAATGAGCATCACATCTGATACCAATGCTTCCAGCACGGCCACAGTGCAAGTTTTGCCACACCCATATTCTTTTCCAATTACACAATGTCAATCTCACTATACCCATTTCAGTTTCTCCCTTTGCGTTCTTTCTTAATGAATACAAGATTGTTCAAGTGGATTGAGGGTAGGAGAATGGGAGCGTGAATATGAAGTTATCCAACATTCAATTCATTGGATGCGAATCCCTCCACAAATGTTTTGAAAGACCCAAAAGTCAAATGTCGGTTCGATGAACCCTAACCCTTATGCGTCCTAAGATCCTTGTGTAAACCCATGAGTATGTGATTTGATGGGTGTGTATCAGAAATTTTGACAGTAAAAGGTAAACAGATGGTCAAGGGAAAGAAGAGGTGCCGACACCACCCCACTCAACTCAGCAAAAAGTCACACTATTCGTTATCAAGACTCGTTTGAAGGCTAAACCTCGGTTCCTTTCTTATCTGATCCAGCATCAGAAGTGATATCTCGCGCTTAGTATCAAGGAGACAGACACCAGATACCCAAAACTTCAAGAGCCAAGATGTCTTTACGAATGCCCAAGGCAGATCATATGCCACTCTTCAAGAGTGGCTATACCTTTTCGTCTGGTGTTGAAGAAGCTGTTTTGAGGTAATTTTCAATGTGACTCATTACTTTCATTTTCCGTATTGTTTCATCTAGTGTGATTGGCTGATGGTGATTTGATCGGTCTGCTATAGGAACATTCAGGCTGTTAATGAATTGACAGATCTTGTTCGGACCTCGTTTGGACCACAAGGTCGGAATAAAATGGTTATCAAGTACATCAAATTTTTGGCCTTCAACAAGAACTGAAATTGGAATACTGATGATATCTGGATTGATCGCATTGTCTTGATGGTTCTGACGACTAGCCATCTCGACAAACTCTTTGTAACTTCAGATGCAGCTACGATCATTCGAGAGTTAGAAGTCATTCACCCTGCTGCAAAGGTTTTAGTCATGGCATCTCATCAACAAGAAGCTGAGATGGGCGATCGTACAAACTTGGTGATGATGTTGGCAGGAGAATTGTTAAAGAAGGCAGAAGGTTTACTCAAAATTGGACTTCATCCAAGTGATATCGTGTTAGGCTACGAAATGGCGCGTGATCGGGCTGAGCAAGAATTGGAGAGTAAATTACAATTCATAATCTTTCGGGGTTCTCGGTTGCAGTGCCAGATGTAACCTTGTTGGATACTGACCAGTCCTATGGTTTCTCTTGCATATTCTTTCTTCGGCTACCAGAGCTGTCTTGCCAGACTCTTCCGTCTCCTCTAACAAAGGAGTCATTGGCTATCGCACTTCGAGCACCGCTAGCTTCAAAACAATTTGGTCACGAGGCCCTACTGGCTGCTCTCGTCTCAGAAGCCTGTCTATCCGTTATGCCCTCCGATCCCTCTTTCTTCAACGTGGACAATGTCCGTGTGGTTAAGATCCTAGGTTCAGGACTTTCGTCATCAAAAGTCATCAAAGGCATGGTCTTTGGTCGAGAACCTGAAGGAGCCATCAAACAAGTAAAACAAGCCAAGGTTGCCGTCTACACTTGCGGTATTGACATCTCTCAGACTGAAACAAAGGGGACCGTGTTGTTGAAGAACTCAGAAGAACTTCTCAACTTTTCTCGTGGCGAAGAAATTCAAATGGAAAAGGTAAATGCTGCTCTCCTGACCTTCAGTAGATCTTACTTCATCCACAGTATCATCAAACTTGGATCTACGGCAGTATTATACTGATTAGACATCTCTTATTTCTGTCACCTCACGTCTTATGTCCTGTAGATTTTCAAAGAGATTGCCGATTCAGGTGTGACAGTGATTGTTGCAGGATCAAGTGTAGGAGAGCTAGCTTTACACTACCTCAATCGATTCAACATTGGAGTTATCAAGGTTTTATCGAAGTTTGATCTGCGCCGTCTTTGTCGAGTGGTGGGAGCGACTCCGCTTGCAAGACTGGGTGCGCCAACTCCTGAAGAGGCAGGTTACGTGGATGTGTTCGAAACGATCGAGGTGGGTGGCGATCGGGTGACAGTTTTCAGGCAAGAGGAAGAGACACGGACCCGGACTGCAACCATTGTCTTGCGAGGGTCAACAACAAACGTTTTGGATGATGTTGAGCGGGCAATTGATGATGGCGTGAATGTGATCAAAGGTCTCATCAAGGATGGTCGATTATGTCCTGGAGCAGGTGCAACCGAAGTGGAACTTTCAAGACGGCTCACTGAGTTTGCCGAACAAACAGCCGGTTTGAGCTTCCATTCAATCAAGAAATTCGCCGAAGCACTAGAAGTCATCCCACGTACATTAGCTGAAAATGCTGGATTGGATTCAACTGAGATCTTGACAAGGTTGTATGCGGCTCACCAGAGTGATGACGTCAATGGCCGCTTTATTGGAGTTGACATTGAGGTTAGTGTAAATTTTGCGACTTTGATGGTAGACTTGTATGAAAAGCTGACAAGTTCTTAAAAACCAATCAACAGTGTGAAGATACCGGATTGAAAGATACCCGACCGGATCAAATTCTCGATCTCTTGGCAGGTACATCGTGGGCTATTCGTTACGGATCTGAAGCTGCCATTTCAATCTTGAGGGTAGATTCGATCATCATGTCTAAGGCTGCGGGTATCGTTCCTCCCAAACAAAACGCCAACTGGGATGAAGACTGATCAAATGTGCAAGGACACTTTCAGCCGGCCCATTTGACATTCATCGTGAGCTGATCTGAGACGGCCATGTTTCTTCAGATAACTCGCCTGTATACCAAAAAAAAAGTTTTCGTTACCTCATTTCTACATGCAGTTCTTATGATTCTTGAACAATCATCATTGTTGTGGAGCGGGTTGTATGTTGGTTACTTATCTAAATACATAATGCAAATTTAGCGTCTTTTTGGGAGTTCTTTTTGATATCTCATCATCCTTGTGAAGAAGCCCTTGATGCGTGCGTTGTGAATGAGTGAAACTTCATCACCGCGAGTCTTCAACAACGCCCAGTTCCCCGCAAGAAGAGAAGGGTGGCCAATCCAACCCAAAAACTGTCTTTGGAATCTCCATTCACTTTCTATATGAAGCCAAACTTGACCACGTCTGTCTAGTCTATAGGAAGAGACCGTCCTGAAGTACGCACCAGTACTTGACGCAGGCCTTCGCCCCGATCCGCCTCATAACATATTCCAATCTGGGGAGCATGCGTGCTTGCGCAATTCCCTGCCGTGTGCCTAACGGTAGCTGAAGAAGAGAAGCCGGACGACACTCAAGCTGGCGACGGACCGGTTGTTGAGCTACCCGATGTTGCGACAGCACCAACTGAAGCCCTCTTCCAAGGACGAAGAACCTTCCGAGCTCAACCTCTTGAGTCGATTAGAGGCGACTTTGGCCCATGCAGCGGTGGACGACGAGGAAGACTGGGATGCGGTAGACACTGAAGACGCGGGCAATCCTCTGCTTGTGCTTGAGGACACCGTAGCTTCAACTCACCAACTGGAGGCCAAAAAACTCAATCATATTTCCGACAAGGTAAGTGTCATCTCCTCTTCTCTACCTTAACTTCTCTACTGGATTTCTACTTTCTTCATCCTGGATTACTTTGAAACTCACATTTTCATTGACTAGAGAACATGCGGGCATGCCCGCCACAGTTTAATTGCCAATCACCAAACTCGCAAACCCACTTGTTTTACAACAGTTTTGTCATGGTGGGACAAGATTGAATCTTTGCCTTACTCCTAGTAGTTTAATCTGCAACTCAGTTACCCCACTTACACTGTGATCACATCTTTGGTGATAATCAAAGTACCCTTTGATCTGGTCGGCGCACGATTTGTTCAACCCCTCTATCACTAACTTATGAATGTTAGCCCAAAATCTATGCCAATGACGAAATGAAAGAAAGCAAAAGCAAAAGCAAGGCAAAGAAATGTATGTTAATTAAAAAGTATGGCAGTGAAGTAACGAGACAACAACAGAAACAAAAATGAAAGTGAGGCATTTTATGCTTAAACATTTATAGGAATTATTTAATGACGTTTAGAACAGTCGATTGAAAAAAGGAAGGAGACATCAAGTCGGTACAAATGGAAAAGACACATGAAGTAGACAGAAAGGAGAAAAAAACGGAAAAGGAAAAGTGGCTAAGTGTAGGAGGGCAGAGAGAAAAACTACGGGATAGCCAGGGGGATACAGTAGAAAAACAAAAGAGGCCACAAAGCAGAAACAGAAAATTGAAATTTGTGATTCCTATCACAACTTGGTATGGTAACAGTTCAGGAGAAGCAACTTGAGTTTACATTTTGAGGGAAGAGAGGGAGGCTTTATATAGGCCTTCATCTCTCTACAATGTACAAATAAGGAAATGAGTAATACAAGTAGAGATGACAGGGATGTCGTAGTGGTACAAGCAGTTATAGGTTTAGGGAAGACCGAATCCGGTACATCTGGATTTGGTTTACAAGCAGTGTTCTGTATTAGAAAGGGACAGATCTGGATTGATCTGTCCGGTAGAAAACAATATGGAGGAATTAAAAAGGAAATGGAAAGCAGTAAAAGTAATAGAAGCACGTCTTGGGCTTGAAAAGCATACATGTAGAACAAAGGGAATGAGCAAATTTGGGAATCACAAAGTGGAAACAATAGAAAGCAAAATACAAAAAGTAAAAGAAGGGGGAAAGATGAACAGGGAAAAATGGGGAAATGGAAAAGCAAAATATGAGTAGCATCTGGCTGACGAACCAAACAGAGGACCGAACACTCATGCGAGTCTGTTCTACGTATTTATATATTAGATATATTTTCATTGATACTATATCCAGCTGGACTTCATTATACGAGAAATTACTCCGTCATCCTCCTGCCGCAACAATTATAATCAAATCATGAAAGGTTGTGGTCTATCACTTGGCTCATTGATTGCTGGCTATGGAATCAGATGGAATATTAAGAGATAGCAAGTACATCAGTCGCCACAAAGCGTGGTTGGCATAGTTGGCATGTGAGGTTTGTTAGAGTTTTCATTTCGATTTGATTTAGGTTTGACATCATCTTTTTATTTTTATTTTGTATGCTTACACCACACCCCATGGGACATGTTTTCTTTCCACAGTTTATAAATCAGCTTTCAAAAGAAGATTTTGAACAGATAGACTCTAGGATGTGGCGGCCTTGCAAAAATGGAAAGTCCTATGGGTGCTTCCGTGAGATTACCATTTCTCCTTCCAAGTGGGCTTCAATTGAAGAACCCAACTCAGAGCTTGAGGTAAGTATCACCTACATATTACTTATATATTTCAACCAACCATTCTTGATGATCACCAAACAGTCTAACAGATGGTAATCTACAGACTGGTACAATGGCAATATGTCAGTATTCAATTGCCACCAAAGTTGCAAGAATGAGAACTCAAGAGGCCAACAAGTGATGCACTCTGTTGAATGATTGAGGCAATGATCACCAAGGACAAACTTAGCCAAAGCTCTGTCAACCCAAAATCTCATTATGGCAACTGGCCTCCATCCGGCATTGCAACTGAAGTCTTTTTAGAAGACCTGACAAACTTACACCCAAGCTAAAACAATGTTCAATAGAATGTTCGAAGATTATCACTCAAAATCATCCACAAGACAGCCCTCAACTTTGGAAATTTTCAAGTTTATAGTGATCATGATCTTAAGAACAATGATCTGAATGATGATTGACATGTTAAAGACTATCTTTATCAAGGGGGTCTTTCTATGAAAGAACCGGAATATGATCTTTGTGACCCAAGCAAAGGACTTCCATGGTGGTTAAAAGTACTGACTTCATTCTCATCTACTTTGTTCACATTATGATCACATCAATGTCCAATTTGCTTCTTTGTAGGCAAACCACACCCGATCCCCAATAGTCACACTAAAGGCATGGGACTACCCGTCCTGTTTGGGGGGATTGGCTCAACATGAGTGCACCTTCTTGCAGCTGCTGATGTATGTATAGCCATTGCCAGTTGAGGGGGTCTGGCTTTGATAACTATTGAGAGGTTGATCTCAACCTGCATGTGGTTAGTCAAGGAAGTGCCTCCTCTAGGAGAAAAATTCCTCCACACTGTGAAGCATATTAAATCTGCTGATAAGCTTTATGAAAAATGTCTAGACCCTGTTTTGGAGGTTCCAGGTCCACCTGTCTCACTATTATATGATGATGGGACAGTCCCTTCAAACACAAAAATATCTTGTCAAATTGCTTCAAATTGTGTTTCCAGTCATGTTTCAAATAAAAAAGATGGGGTCCACTGAAGGGGTATAAGAAGTGGCTACATTGTTGCTGTTTGTCATCTCACTCCTCTCATCACAAAGATTTGAACAGTATCCTCCACATAGCTATCCGTATAGCACAATCCAATCTCTCATAATCCATATTCCATCATTTGCATAACATATTGCATTGGGTCCTCACTATCAACTCACCTTTGGTTGTGCAGATCTTCTCTGATCCATTTTCTAAGAATCCAAACCTGCTAATAGTCTAGGTAGCCCTTCTTCCCTTGGTACCATACCTTGGTATCTTTCATCTACTTACATATGGTGTTGCATTCTGATATGTGTGATTACCTTTCATCTCAGGATAAACATCAGCCAAGCAAATCTTCTGCTTCAAAAAGTCTTCAAAATTTCTCAAAAAACGTAATTTTCTCAATCCTTCTTATCAACTCAAGATATGTAAAAGCTGACAATATCTGATGTTTGACCTGCAAACTTTGGATCACCCAGAGAATGAATGTTTTAACTTCACCCAAGGTTTTGACCATCATCTTTGTGACAATTTGTGTCCTTCTGAAAGGTATCATTGGCAAAGATGGTATATTTTACCTAGAACCTAATATTGAAAAGAAGGGTCTGCTCTTCACATATGGGGAAAATGCAGATGGAGAACTGGAACTAACCCTTGAGAACAAGGGGGGATACAAAGATTGGAAGAAATTCAGCATTGTACATATTTGTGAAGGCCAGCAATATACAGTAGTTGGTGAGATAGGAAAGGGTGAATCTAAGTGTATTGGACGTCACCCTGGGAAAAAAGTGGACGAAATTGCTGTCTGCCCCATCACCTAGTAACTCTGAGGTTTGGAACAGAAATATCATCTACCTTGAATTGATGAACTCCAGTGTTTCTTTGTTATTGTTGGGTCAGTGATGTAATAGATGAAGGGCTTGAAAGCAATGTTTGATTTTCCTTAACCAAGCAATTTATTAACCAACTTGTGCAAAAGAAAGATTTCACCAGTAGATGGAATGATGTGCAAGTTTATGTAACAATTCAATGGCATTCTTTTTCTCTTTTTGTGCCCAGAGAGATGTTGGATGTTGCTCTTGATCTTGATTCACATTTTCACTACTTACTCCAGATACATCACCAGTGATCTTCTGGTGTATGTACTTGGATTTTCTGCTCTGGGTTCTTCTTCTGTTTTGTGTAGATATCAGGTGTGTCATGCAGGAATGTTATTCAAGACTTTTACTATTTCATTACATATACTGTCATTGAAATCATGACCAATCATGTGGAAGATGGGTGCCAGTTACTAGAGTGCCATACTTTTTGGAGCGTTCAAGGTTCCTCAATACTATGAGAGCTATTGGAATAACTGCATTTGAGCAATGATCTATCCCACATAAGTCCAAGTGAAGAGCTTATCTATGATTCACACCTTCTTCAAGGTCAGTTGAATACTCTCCACTTCTCTACATTTGCTTCCCCACTCAATTACTACTTTCTTCATCCTGAAGTACTTTCACACTCACATTTTTATTGACACTTTTCCATTATACTACCTACAGCTTAACTTCATTATACATGGAGTCACTATCTTGTCCTCATGGTGCAACAAATATAATCAAATCATGAAAAGTTATGGTCCATCACTTGGCTCATTGATTGCTGGCTATGGAATCAGATGCGATATCAATTACATCAGTCCACACAAAGTGTGGTTGGCTTGTGAGGTTTGTTCACAGTGTCATTTTACTAGTCACTGGCAGGCCAGTGAGTTCCATTCACCTCAATTCAATCTCAATTCAATGTCAGTTCCATATCAGTTTGACCTCCAATGATGTTTGAGTGGGGGATATGCATGGGCTGCATAATCACACAAACCTTCCAGACATTCTGACACATTCATGTGTGGACATGCAACCAAACTTTATTCCAGTTCATTCTGGAAGGTTGTTTGTCTGCTACTCTAGGCCAAACATTGAGATTGGATTGATATTGAACTGACGTGGATTTGAGATTGGATTGAGATTGGATTGAGCTGGACGTACTCACCGGCCTGCCAGTGAGTAGTAAAATGACACTGTGGTTACAGTTTTCATTTCAGTTGAAATTAAGTTTTACAGTCGTTCTTGAAAAGTTTGCTTGTCAATTTTTTTTTGGGCGGTTTAGGGCTGTTAAGGTCAGATTTTACTGGTTTTGTCTGTACACGTCATCAGTAACCGCAGGATCCTTCTGTGCCAGGAAACCCATCAGAACCCGATCTCAATCTCTTTCATTGGTTAATTTGATTCTCAGCCTGGATCAACCACTTCCGGATTTTATTCGGTCATCAACATTGACTTCCATTCACCCGGCTCTTGTTTCTGCGTGTTCTCAAGGCTACCCTTCTCTCTAATCAAGAATCTTGTCAGTCCCAATTCCAATTTCCATTTGTTCTTCTTTCTTTTGCTGATGCCATTTCTTTTTCTTCCACAGTGTTTCTTTTCCTGTAATGCCCTTTGTGTTTTACTCGGCCAATTTCAAGTTCATTGTCATTCGCAAGGCTCTTCGCAATGAGACACTTGAAATGATCAATCACAACCTTGGACTGGATATATCACCTGATTCATTGACTCGATGACTCAATTTACTCCAAGACACTTGGCAAGTCTTTTCAAATCCCGAATTCTACAATCCTTGTGGAAGGCCAACTATCCTATCAAATGATCACTGTAGATTTATTGAAGACGCCATCAATACAGAGCCAACACTTTATCTTGACAAGATTGCACACAAACTTAAAATCGAAAGAGGTATTGATATCTCGGTTCCCACTTTAGCTCGCGAGGTTTGTGATCGTCTGGGTCTAACCTTGAAGGTGGCAAAGACTGTCCACCCAAATCAAGATCCAGAAGAAGTAGGCCAGTATATATATGAAGTCGGAGGAATTGATCTGTTGTGCCTTATCTTCATAGGTAAGCTTTCCTTCTATTTGAGAGGTTGCTTTCTTGATGTGTGATCCTAGAGTTGTTAATAAATGCACTTCAAGATGACCGGATGAGTTCATATTCCATCAACAAGTTCGATTGACCTCTGACTGGGGCAGAGCTTTGATCAGCTTGGGAACCAGTGAGGTTTACAACTGGTGTGTAACCTCACTGGTTTTGGTGGAATTGAACAAACCATAGTCTTGAATGTATTTATTCATGACTCAAAGATCACACATCAAGAAAGCATACTGATCATCATCTTGTTCTTATTCAACTTTGAGCTGACATGTGTTTGGATAGACGAGAGTTAAGTTCAAGCGCGTAGGCTTTACCAATCAAAAGCTCGTGCACCACAAGGTCAACAAACCAGACACCTCCCTTTTACTTTACAATCAAGAAAATTTTCCTTACTACCCGCCATCTCTTTGAGTGGCTGTCTTGGGATGATTGTTCAGGAGGGTTCAATCCTTCGGGATGATTTGGAGGATTATTTGTTGCATCATGTGGTAAGTACCACAGCTCATCTACTCTGTCTTTAAATATAAACTGATTGACTATGTTTTTTATATCAGCTTCTCATGATGAACCCATACCCAGCCGCAAACAGTGTGCTTGTCTTGGATAACGCACCCATTCATCATGGTGGAATGGTTTGCAACCTTTGCAAGCAGTTTGGTGTATGTATACTTTACCTACCTGCATACGGCCCCGAGTACAATCCAATCGAGAAGGCTTTTGATATCATCAAATCTCGACTCAAAAGAAGTGGTGATCTTCAAGAAAATATGTCATTAGAAGAGGAAGCGGAGGTCATTTATTGTCATGCTGAGGAAGCACTCACTCCCAAACTCATCCGTAGCCTCTATTCCGGATCCATATATTGAGATTGATGCAAAGTTATTTGAGCATTATCACAGTAAGTCTTTCCTTCCTTGAACCATATGACAAAAAATAGTTAATGAGACAAAACTAACCAATTCTTTTGATTTTTGAGTAGGTTAACAGGAAATTTTGTGAAAAGAAACATGATTTATAGAAGAAGTAACAAAAAGAGATTGTGTCTATTTCATTTGAATTATTATTTTAGTTCTTATTATTGTTTTCCAACTTTGTCAATTGTAATTCTTATCGTGGTTTCCTTGTTCAGACTTTTTTGATGCAATCATAAATTTGAACATTGAATGCAGCTTTCCAACAGTTCCCATCCTGAACTTTTTCATGATTTGACAAGTCCGTTGTCAAGGTGACTTGATTTTTTCCTCAACAAGAAAGTTGCTCATCAACCAACTGGTGTTTGACAATTCAGACTGCTTTGATTATTCAAAGAACAATACATTTTTTTATTTCACATATCACAAACAAAGCCAGCATTGCAGAACAGTTCGGGGTTAAAAATACATAGTGGAAGATTGAAATGAGACTATCACAAAGAATAACATTGAAAAGAAAAAAAGCACAATAACAATTGATCAAAGCAGATCACAAAAGAAGAAGATGAAAAAAACAATTACTCAAAGCAGATCATCAAAATAAAACATGATGTGCTATCAAAGGAGATCATGATAAGGAACAGAAGAGAGAATATACAGAGAAAACAATCACAGATTGCAATACAGAGTGAAAAAAAGAAAAAAGAAATTGATCAAAGCTGTTGCGCATCAATCTTTGCAAGCTTTGCAAGTAAAAATTCCTTGTACCAAACTGCACTTGCAAGGAGATGGTTTGCATCACCTCGAGCTATGCCAATCACTTTTAATTCTTGACTGTTCATATCATCACTTGGCTTGAGCTCACTCCAACGAGTGTAATGAGCATTGCTTAACCTTGTCCTCAAAGTATGATCACTTTCAGGAAATTCAGCATAATTGAGAAAGTCTTCCATATCTCCAGAGTATTTGTGTTGATAGATACGGTCATTGTGTAGTTGAGCTGGGGTAGCTGATGGGATTGGTTGTTGTGGCAGAGGTGCAGGAGCAGCAGCCATGAATCCGACCGGTGGGGGATTGTCTGGAAACTCGAGATACCCTGGAGGAAGCTGTCCATTGAGGAAGGTCTTGAAAGCTGGTAACTTAGGAGGAGTCCATAAATCAACATCGGTGCGATCTTCTTGACGAGCTAGTATCTGAGGATTTTGGAGTCTCATCAGCACAACTGTGACCAAAGCGATCTTAACAAGATATAACTTACAATTGCATCAACCCATATTTTGATCTTGCGAGGAGTCATATGACACCATTTCTTAGACTCTTGAGGATCTCTGAATCGGCATTGTTCAGATCCATTCTTGGTAAGAATATTTTTTAACTTGATAGTGACATTCAACAGTAAATTTTCAGATGCAGTCAATTCAGCGGTTGCTGAACCACTAGGCTGATTATTGACAACGGCTTGTCGAGTATTCCATGAGCTGATGTGACTATCAACTTTCTCTTTCCTACGTTCAGAAGCAACATCAAGATCTGGATTCGCCATCTGAACAAGAAGACCAGCGGAGCTTGGTTGAGTGTTATGGTCAGATAAGTTTTTGAATTGATTCCATTCAATGATTTCGCGGAGATTGTACTTTGGATTGCGGAAGAAGGACTTTGGTGTAAGACTGACACCAAGCCAAGAAACTGACTGGGGATGAGATACGTTGCTGAGATAGGTACCAAGATTGGTTTGTACTTTGTTGAGAGACTAGCTAATTGGGCGGCGGGCGCCGCCATTTTGAGCTCTGAGAACAATGTGGCTTTTGACTGTTTCCTATGTTATCATAGCTACCCAATGTGAGCAAGAATGCATGCTAATTGAAAGTAAAGTATACCACCAGGTGGGGTTTGACATCTCCAAAAGCAGGAGCACCCTAATGTGTATGATCATATCCATCTTTGGAATATGATATTTCCACATCAATTGTCTGAGAAACAAAATCAAATATAATTGCATGTTGGTCTATAACACTAATGACCACATCTTTTATTTCAATATTTGACATGTGAACTTTGCAAGTTCATTGACATGTTTTTTGAAAGTGCAACCTACAAAATTGTGGCATATGGAACACAGGACATTGAAAAGGATGTTCAGGTACATGGCTTAGAATGTAATTGTGCTTCAATGCATTGAGCCATTGATCAAAGAAATTTCAGCTTGAAAAGTTCTTAATTTGAAATTACATGTGTTCCCAAAGCCTGAGACAGTACCAACATTCCATTTCAGTTAAGGACATGTATTGTTTCAGGTATTGCATGGTGTCACAAATGCCAAAGTGTGTGACAGGCCCAATACAGAGGCTTATGACAATCTGAAACTTCAGGAACCAATTGGTCTTAAACCCAATTGAAGAGAGTCGTGGTGACCAGGTTTCTGACTTTCTTCAATCAAGGGTTTTGTTTGCGTTAGGTTTGCCATATGTTTGCTGATTCCCCTCAAGTCAGTGTATTCCAGATACACATGCTTGAACCTTATGTTATAGCTCTGGGGATCACTGAACCGAGTCAATCCATCATTCCATTTTTTCCAATACTCACAACTCAATCTTGTTGAACCCATGAATCCAAAACTGACAATGATCCCTGGGGTGACTGATAGGAAAGGATATCAAATTGAGCAGATAGCCAAGCAGATTGTTGATATCTATGTTTAGATCTGAGAGCTGATGAAGCGGATCCTGAATGTGGGATATTCTGACTGCAGGGGAATCAGCAAACATATGGCAAACCTAAGGCAAATGAAACCTGCAATTGAAAAAAGTTTCAAACACAGTCACTGCAACGGTGGCACGGCTAAGCTAAGTTAGCGCTTAGCGGTGCATTAGCTTAGCGATGTTTTGTCACTAAGCTAGCGCTAAATCCTTAGCGCACTCAAGCTAAGCTAACCAAATTTTGATTTTTCCTTTAGCGGGTGTGCGCTAAGCTAAGCCAGGAGCTTAGCTATCAAAAAAAATACATGTTTTAAGTGCAAAAAAGGGCCGCTAAGCCGCTAATAGCAGTTTAGCGGCCAATTAATTGGCTTAGTGGGTGTCAGTTTACGCCTGCTAAGCTAATGGCTTAGCATTAGCGGAAATCCGCTAAGATTAGCGTTAGCGGATTTTTCCTTAGCGGCTTCTAGCTAAGCTAAGCCAAGGTGGCAAAAATCCTTAGCTTAGCTTAGCAAGCCACCGTTGGTCACTGTGACTCTCTTCAATCAGGTCTGAGACTAATTGATTCCCACAGTGTGAGTGTGGGTTGAGTAGAGGGCTAAATCTTCACCTCCACTTGTAACACCACACTCTCCAGCTCTCTCACTCCACAATCTTCCTCATGACAGCTTTCCTATCTCAACTCATTAGACTCTTTTAGAGAGGTCCAGATCTTAGAACTTTTTGAGGTTTCCTGCCTTAGCTGAGAAGCTCAAGTCTCCTGATGTTCTGGTCTCACCTCTGAGGGGTGTGAGGTCAGCAGTTTAAAAACCTAGACCTCTACTCCCCCTTCAGGGGCCCTCTCCACACCGTACATAAGTAAATATAATTATAACCTTACAGACATAAGGATGTATACTGTGGTGGACCAGTCTCTTGTGAGACAAAGTCTTTTTAACCTCTGTGGCCAGTATTATAAGAAGGATAAATTGATAGCATAGAATTATGTCCATAATAGACCTAATTTCCAATGTACAGCCCCCTCCAAGTGGTTTACGTAATCATTCAAGTTCCGGAGCAGCTGGGCAGGGGCCTGTTCCAAACCCAATGATTACTAATCCCAGGTGTGGGGACATGTACTACCTGAAATGGATGAGTCATATTTGATCTGTAGAAAAGATGTATATAGGACTTGTGATCAATTGTTGTGAGTTCATTTGCAACATACCATTGAAGTTTGTGCGATTCAAGGTCTTTGACCAATTTAGAAGTAAAAGTTCATTCTTTAGTCTGGGGATTTGCAAGAAAACACATCCAACATCAGGCAATTCAATCAAATAATCCAAGCAGATAATGTTCATGCCAGATTTGGGTTTTGAATGATCACAAATCTTGGTGGCGGGCACATAACTGTAATTTTCAAGCTTGACAGCCTTATTTATAAAATCCAGGAGTTAATAAAGTGTATTGTGCAGCCCAGATGAAGCCAATTTTGATGTTGCACAATCAATGCAATGCCAAACCATTGATATCAACTCTTTTTTTGTTTCAAATGATTTTCTTGTCAAATGATTTCCTTTTGAATATTTGCTTCTATCTTCTTCTTCTATTGTCTTCTTCTTCTTTAATACTTCTTTTAATGATTTGTAAAAAAATTAAAGATCCAGAAAGTCAAATCAAATCTTCATGTACTTCTACAAAAAATATAACCAAAAACCAAATACATATAACTTAGGTAAGTGAGTTAAGTATTGAAAGGGAAAGACTAAGAATCAGTAAAAATCCCTCTAAAAAAAGTTTTCATTAAAAAAAAAATTAAAATGATTTCCAAAATTTCCCTTCTTTGTTTTTCATTTCAAACTTCTCTTCATAACCAATTGATTTCCTTCATTCCTTCATTCCTACATTCCTTCAGCACCAGTCACTCTTTTACTCCTTAAAACAGTAGCTAAAGCTTTGACTCTTTCTTTCCTTTTATGATGATTATGATTCTGATTATGGTTGTTATTGTTATGATGATTGTGATGATTTGAATCATTTGAATGATTCCCATTAGTCATATTAAGATTTGATGAATCTGTACTTGTAGTCACTTCTACAGCTCCAAATACAATCTTCGAAGGTAATTCTTCTGCTTCCCCTTCCACTTGTTCTTCTTCTAAATCATTTCCTTCTGATTTGGCTGCTTTCTTCCCTACTGCTTCCTTCTCACCATTTTCTACGGATTTCCCTTTTTCTCTTCCCCATCCATTCCCATTCCAATTGCCATTGCCGATTCCATTTGTATTTCCAGCCGTTCCACTAGTAGTAGAGAAATTTCGAAATTGGATAGGTGTTGAGATAGGCAAATTTGAGAAATCAGGCATGATGGTAGTAGCAGATGTCGGTGTTGAAGCGGGGTATGGATAATGGTGATGATCAAACTCATGTGCATAATTTGGCTTGGTCTCATATATCATTCTTTGAGTATTTGTGGATGACGTTGACTGTACACCACTACTTGAACTACTACTCCCTCCGGATTGGAAGAACTGATGGAAATAATTAATCCATTCCCATTAGGGGTATGGCTGTCAGTCAACGGTGTGGTATCTGTGCTGTCCGCAGGCTTGAGAGATGTACTTTCATTCAGTTTATCATTCTCTTCCAGTTGTTGTTGTTGAAGTAGCAGTTGTTGCTGTTACTGTTGCTGTTGAAGTTGTTGCCTCAATTGAAGTTGATGGATTTCATTGACAAGGTAGTTGATTGAATCATGATGAAGATGTGGATGATGTTGCCAATCTAAATCTCAATCAAGAGGTGCCGGTTCGGAAGCAAGCGATTCAGGAGGGTACTGTGGTCTCACGTCAGTCGAGGTAGTAGCTTGTCGATATACATGATCTTGCATTAGTCTAGCTGTGAGCGGTGGATACGTCGGCACTGAGATCGCGGCAGCATGTCTCATTGTGGCTTGATGCTGTCCCTGTTGTTATTGTAAAAGAAGTTGTTGTTGGAAATCATCTTCATCCTCTTCAAGTGGATCATTTGATATTCCAGTAGAGGCTGTAAGGGCCAACGATTGAACTGAGGTAACCCCCATGAGCACCAGGCAAGAAAAAAAATCAGTCTACAAGGTTTGGGTAAATGTATAGACGTCCAAGTCGGCCTTACTTGATGTTGGAGCGAGACCTGACTCTTGGGATCCAGTCCCCATTTCCAAGCTGGGAAGACTGGAAATCGTTGATGTGAGGAGATTGAGAGGCAGATGAGGGTGATTTAGGGTTGGGTGCTGAATTTCGTCATCCAGTACTGGAAGGTGGTGCCATCAATACTCCTTCTTGTCTTTCCTCACACAATTCACAAATCATTACATCTAATCAATCTGTAAGGAAACACATGTGTAAATGCTTTGGTTCCAAGGTGACTTTCTAGGTCTTGAGGACGTATGGTAATACTGCTTCCTTGCGACCATTGACAAGGTAATAAATTACTAATAGTACATAGCCATACGAACTTAGTGTACCAAGATAAGGATTGTTGATCCTTCTCCGTTTTGTCCAAACTTTCACTGAGAGGAGATGAAGAATTAGTGTTTGAGAAAACAATATCTCAAATAGGCCAAGTTACGCACAAAACAAGACAATAGTTCTCATCCAAGGATCAACGATAGAATAGGTGAGTAACAAACGAGTGTTTTCAAGCGCCAATTGGCTCTCAAATCCGATATCACATGATAACCCAAAGGGTTGGCCAGCCGAAGGAGGCAACAAAAGTTTAATGATTGGAATTCGTGCCTTGGGTAGCATTTTGACCATGAAAGAAGTTTCTGAAACCGGAGTTTGAGATATCGGAGATGAGTTTGAGCTGGAGTGTGAATCATGCAGATGATGAGAAGTTGGGTTTACCTTCTTGAATCAGTTTACCAAGGATGAGAACCATTTCTGCAGGAGTTTGCTTGGCAGGTTTTGTAGTAGGTTTGGGTTCTTGAGGTTCTTGAGGTTCTGTAGGTTCTTGGGTTTCTAAAGGGTCAGATGGAGCAGACTGATCTTCAGCATTGGGTGATGGTTTGGGAGAGGACGGTTTTTCTTCAGTATGATCGATTAGACAACAGAGGTCTATATCCGGATTCCTCAGAGCCAAACCAGATGCTAGCAAAGAAAGATGATTAAATTGAATTAGATAAAGTTGGCCAACGCATGAGTAGATGATAAAAGATAACTAACCGATGGAACCAAATGGTAATTCAATTCTCTCATCCTGTTTTCAGCTTCTTGATGTGCAGATACTTCTCGATCGTATTCTTCTCTCGCAAGACTAAATCCTTCATGAGCTGTTCTTGATGCCCTTTGCATCGCATTATACTCATTTTGTAACTCTTTCATCCTTTCTTTTGTATTTTGAAGTGAACTTAATAATTGTTCGACTAATGCTACATCTAATGACATATCTCCTCCAGAACCTGTCACATTTGCCAAATCACGATTCAAGCTAATTGATTCTCTTACTTTTCTGCTCACTTCATCCGAATCATCCTTTCCATCACGTCTGCTTCGCAACTGTTGTCGATCATCGCTGGCCAAATGTTCCATTTCAGGTACAATTGATCTGAAATGGATCCTAAGTCGTATAGACCAACAAAGATGATTCGTGCGAGTGTGAGTATGAGTATGGTAGGGGTGAAAGGTCCAGGGATTACAGACTGCTCACCTCAATACAAAGCCGATTCAGGTCAACTTTGGCATAAGGACTGCGACCACCATTAACAGCCCCAGCCTCTTCGATGATGTATTGTATCCCTCCTTTATGTTTAGAGAGCAGACCACCAATTGATCTGATACTGACCACATCATGCGTGTACCAAAACGTAGAGGCGAAAAATCTAAAGAAATCAATCAAAAGTTCTCCAATGTTTTCTCGATTGGTACCAGTCCATTAGCGAGGTAGGGCATCAAGATCATCAAAGAAATAGATAGAATGACCATCATGGATCAGTTCAATATTATGATTGCAACGTATTGGATCCAAAAATAGTTGAAGCTGTTATTGATTGAGTCAAAGCTGAAATAGGAGATCCAACGATGATAATAGAATTGAATCGCAGTAAATTCCAACGGTGTGTCACTTCTTCTGATAATTGTATCTCATTCAAAATTGTGACCAATCTTCACAAGGTACCTTTTAACCACTTTGTGGTCAAGTTGATTAGTGATGTGATTAAATGTAATTTGAGCATCTGAAAATGAAAATTGCTTCCAATCCTTGTTAGGCTTTCATCTAGTCTAGAACCAATTGATATCTTCTGTGGCTTTTAAATTTACAATGGATTTCAGAATTGAACCACAAGCTATTTAATTTGATTGAGCAACAGGAATGATCTTAATATTGATTGAATAGATTGATTTTGATCAAGTAAAAGGACTGATCTTGATAACCGAAGATATTAATATTGAAACTGGTTGTGTGACAGGATGAATGCAAGTTAAAACCAAGACATCAGGGGATGTGGAAATCACAGGCCTGGGAGGCAAGAATCGAAGGAGAGATAACGATAAGTTGTTGGTTAAAATAAGCAAGGTGGCAAGGAGAGGGTGATGGGAAACGGCTGGGACAGGAAAATTAAGTGCCTAAGAATAAGACTTATCAAGGGCCTAAGGGTTTAACCTAGTTTTGCCGAGAAACATGGCCGTGCCTTTAGTTTTATGATTCCACCATCAAATCTATGACCACTTGAGGAGATGAATGATTCAAGTCGAACTTTATGTAGTGCTTGGGTCCAGTGTCGTTCTTTTCAGTTTTATCACACTTCCATACCGGTGTAGAACTCTTTCAGTACACAGCTGAAAGCAGAGCCAAGAAGGGGAAGAATGAAGACCAAATCAACAACACACACAATCAAAAGAGAAATGAGTCTTGAGATGGTGAATTGAAAGACTTCAAACAAAGAAAGAAATGCCCTTCTTAAACAGGGACTTTGATTACTGATGAATTAAATTTAAGACCTACAAGTCTTTGGATTAATAAGAACCAGGCTAAAAGAGGATAATAACTTCAAAAGTAGCACAATCTAGGCGCACTCAGGCACCTTCCAAATGAGCAAATGAGCTTTCAACTCAACAAGAAATTATTAAAAGTGAATAAAGGGTCTAATATTATAAAATCCCAACTTTCATTAGTTGTTTACCCAGATAATAATAATAAAAAGATACAAAGCTTTATTCTAAATTCTAATAATAATTTTTGCTAACTAAAAGGCTCCCAAAGGGGAGGAAAAGAGACACTTGACTATATCAAAATTGAAACACACCCAAAAAAAGAAAGTAAGACAAAAACACCCCTCAAACTCGAAATCCACCTTCAAACAACTTTTTCACACACAATTCATTGAACAACCCCCAAATTAAAATTGATAAACATCTTCAACACACCCACATGTATCATTCACAAATTTTCAAGCACACATTTATCATTAAAACTGAGCTGTTTACCACAAAAACTGAAAAATCCGCCAATTTACCCTTAAAACCTGAAGAAAGATGAGAAATAGGGACTGTATCAAAAATCTGAATAGACAGAAAAAAATGCCTGCTTCCGCTCTACAACTTTGCTCAGCCAAGCTAAACTCTAACTCTATTGGTTGTACCCTTAAAATGAAATTCGATTTTATGTGAAAATACTCGAAATTGAATTTACCCAGTTTACCACCTGATATTACCACTGATGATGATGTATATGGTTTATAATTGATTTTTCATGTTCATATGCGAAAATATAACCCTCCCCAACTTATTTCTAGGCTGATAAGATGCTGTGGTACCCTAAAATCAAAGTTGTATGATTGAAAATAGCACTTTTTATGATTTTGAAAGTGATTTTCGAGTTTCAAATCCACCCTTTTCATATGTAATGTTTAATTTGCCAATGCTGTTGTTTGATAATCCCATAAATCTATCTTTCAAAGTGATCCCTGCTTGCTTTTTCAGTTTACCACCCCAGTTTACCACCACCCCAGTTTACCACCATCTGTCTGAGTTGTTGGATTTTCGAAATTTAGCCTTATTTAAACCCATACTTCAAAACCATGATTCCTCTACATAACTCATTAAACCCATACACAGCTGTAAACATAACTGATAAAACCCATAAAATTCGAAATTCCACCTTGAAACCTGTATACTCCTCATAGCCCATATATCACTCAACTACACATAAGTTCTAAACCCATAATTTCGACTTTTGGCTTCATTTTACACTACACCCCCTACACATAACCATTACACTCAAAAATCAACATGTAACATATAAAAATAAAATGAAATAAAATGAAATATGATAAAATAAAATGACAAAATAATAAGATAAAATGAAATGAATAAAATAAAAAAATAAAACTAAAAATGAATTGTGTATTTGTCTCTTGAATACTTTTGATTACCACCCCGGCTTTTCGATGACTCTTCTAGATGAAGCTCTTTGAGTCAATGTACGATTCCTATCTTTTGGACCCCAAAAATATGCCTCATGAAACACTCGAAGAGTCACCATCTTGACTTGTGACTCGGTGGAATGTTGATTGGGCGTGAATCAAAGCTCCGGAGGTGGTGAAGGGGCAGTAAGACGTCCCAATCCGAATTGAAGGAGGCCGCATGTAGGGTGGTAGGTCGCACTAGCTCCACATTGTTGAGGGTTGGCCAGAGCACTGCTGAAGCTTCCAGTGCTGCAAACAGGTTCCTCTCAAGGGTAGAACATGGGATCACAAGGATCTGTACATGAAACACAATGAGTGAGTGCTCATTCAACAAACAGACACGGTTTGAAAGAAAGATCAGCTCACCATTCCAAAAGTTATCACGGCCCTGTGCTGCTGCCTGTACAAAGCTCTCACAGCGGATTTCGCGCGCCTCATAGATCAAGTGAGCTGCATCTGGATGAATGAATAAAATGATATCATTGTCAGTTGGAACAAACAAAATCTGATTATGACCAGCGTGAAGAAGATATGAACATACTTCTTTCTTGACCTGATGCCAAATGGGTTGCTGTTGGATTGAGACATCAATTCAAATTGCGATGGGATGGATCAATATGGATTTGTTGATGAAGGTTTGAGTGTTGATTTATCAAACAATCTCGGCTAGGATCTGCAATCTCAATCTTGTTATTGTTGTCCATGTTGGCTTCGATTGCTGAGCTGCTTTGGTTGGAAGGAGCTTGTCAGCTTGGGGTGGTTGAAGTAGCTGACAATTGGCTAGTTTGGGAATGAAATGGTATGCGACCAAAGGCATTTGAATGCTGGTTTGGAGTCCAGGCTTCTTGACCCATCTTGAAGAACAGTAAGGCCTTGAGAAAGCAAAGAGAAGCTGGAGATTGAGAGAAAAAAGGGAGCCAACCAAGTGGTGGAGTGGGATAGAGCTGAGATGACATATCAGATCCAACAGATCCTGCGGTTACTGGTGACATGTACAGACAAAACCAGTAAAATCTGACCCTAACGGCCCTCAACCGCCTAAAAAAAAAAATTGAAAAGCAACCTTTTCAAGAACGGCTGTACACCGTCTTTTTATTTTCATTTTCATTTTATATTCTTACACTGGCAACTGTCCTGCACCTGGCATTTCAACTGAAGTTTTTGAGAAGGCCTCACAAACTTACATCCAGGCTAAAACAGTGTTCAATAGATTATTCAAGGATTATCAATCAAAATCATCCACAGGAAAGCCCTCAACTTGAGAAATTTTCACAATTTATAGTGATGATGATGGGGAAAACATGGACCTGGGTAATGATCAACAGATTGAAGAATATCTTAATCAAGGGTTTTTTTGTATGGAAGAACTGGAATACAATCTTTGTGATCCAAGCAAAGGACTTCAATGGTGGTGGGTAAGTCCTGAGTTCATTATCATCCCAATTGTTTACATCATGATCACGTGAATATCAAATTTCCTTCTTTGTAGGCAAACCACACCAGGTCCCCAATAGTCACACTGAAGGCTTGGGACTACCTGTTCTGCTTTAGGGCATTGGCTCAACATGAGTGCACTTTCTTGCAGCAGCTGATGTTTGTTTAGCCAGTTGAGGGGGTCTGGATTTGATAACTATTGAGAGGTTGATCTCAACCTGCATGTTCAAGGAAGTGCCTCTAGGAGAAAAAATCCTCAGTTCTGTGAAGCATATTAGGGTTAAAAAATTGACCTCTCCTTTCTTTTGTTTTTTCACATCTCTTTTCATGTTCATATGCGTTGGTGAGTGATTTTGTTGGATGTATATAATTGAGCACATTTAGGGGGAATCAGGTGTCTTGCAATGTTTTTTACAGCTTTATAGGACCATTTGCTCTTACCAGTTATCACACTACCATAGCTCTAATGTAACTGTACTAGTTAAGCCATTGAATTGAGATTGTGGCAGAATCATTAATTACATACAAGTTATACAAAATTGGATAATGTAACTGGATGAGCAGTGCTATCCCTTTGTGAAATTTCCCAACAAATTATAAAGCTACTCTGCATGTAACCTGCCCTGTAACACTGTGCTGCACTTCTGTCTCAGCATTTCCACACTGAACCATGTCTGTGGTAGTGCAACTGGCCTGTCTTTGAAACATTTGCATAAAGAAAACTGATTTACTTGTCAAATCTTTGCCACAGAACATTCAATAGGAAAATCTGCTTATAAGCTTTGTGAAAAATGTCTAGACCCTGTTTTGGAGGTTCCAGGTCCACCTGTCTCACTATTTTATGATGATGGGACAGTCCCTTCAAACACAAAAATCTCTTGTCAAATTGCTTCAAATTGTGTTTCCAGTCATGTTTCAAATAAAAAAGATGGGGTCCACTGAAGGGGTATAAGAAGTGGCTACATTGTTGCTGTTTGTCATCTCACTCCTCTCATCACAAAGATTTGAACAGTATCCTCCACATAGCTATCCGTATAGCACAATCCAATCTCTCATAATCCATATTCCATCATTTGCATAACATATTGCATTGGGTCCTCACTATCAACTCACCTTTGGTTGTGCAGATCTTCTCTGATCCATTTTCTAAGAATCCAAACCTGCTAAGAGTCTAGGTAGCCCTTCTTCCCTTGGTACCATACCTTGGTATCTTTCATCTACTTACATATGGTGTTGCATTCTGATATGTGTGATTACCTTTCATCTCAGGATAAAGATCAGCCAAGCAAATCTTCTGCTTCAAAAAGTCTTCAAAATTTCTCAAAAAACGTAATTTTCTCAATCCTTCTTATCAACTCAAGATATGTAAAAGCTGACAATATCTGATGTTTGACCTGCAAACTTTGAATCACCCAGAGAATGAATGTTTTAACTTCACCCAAGGTTTTGACCATCATCTTTGTGACAATTTGTGTCCTTCTGAAAGGTATCATTGGCAAAGATGGTATATTTTACCTAGAACCTAATATTGAAAAGAAGGGTCTGCTCTTCACATATGGGGAAACTGCAGATGGAGAACTGGAACTAACCCTTGAGAACAAGGGGGGATACAAAGATTGGAAAAAATTCAGGATTGTACATATGTCTGGCCTTCACAAATATGTACAATCCTGAATGTTTTCCAATATTTGTATCCCCCCTTGGTCTGATCATTGTGATCCCATGTTCTACCCTTGAGAGGAACCTGTTTGCAGCACTGGAAGCTTCAGCAGTGCTCTGGCCAACCCTCAACAATGTGGAGCTAGTGCGACCTACCACCCTACATGCGGCCTCCTTCAATTTGGATTGGGACGTCTTACTGCCCCTTCACCACCTCCGGAGCTTTGATTCATGCCCAATCAACATTCCACCGAGTCACAAGTCAAGATGGTGACTCTTCAAGTGTTTCATGAGGCATATTTTTGGGGTCCAAAAGATAGGAACCGTACATTGACTCAAAGAGCTTCATCTAGAAGAGTCATCGAAAAGCCGGTATGGAAGTGTGAAAAAACTGAAAAGAACGATACTTGACCCAAGCACTACATGAAGTTCGACTTGAATCATTCATCTCCTCAAGTGGTCATAGATTTGATGGTGGAATCTCTCAAAAAAGTACAAACCAATCTTGGTACCTATCTCAGCAACATATCTCATCCCCAGTCAGTTTCTTGGCTTGGTGTCAGTCTTACACCAAAGTCCTTCTTCCGCAATCCAAAGTACAATCTCCGCGAAATCATTGAATGGAATCAATTCAAAAACCTATCTGACCATAACACTCAACCAAGCTCCGCTGGTCTTCTTGTTCAGATGGCGAATCCAGATCTTGATGTTGCTTCTGAACGTAGGAAAGAGAAAGTTGATAGTCACATCAGCTCATGGAATACTTGACAAGCCGTTGTCAATAATCAGCCTAGTGGTTCAGCAACCGCTGAATTGACTGCATCTGAAAATTTACCGTTGAATGTCACTATCAAACATAGAAAAGAAAGTCATGTTTTTACAATACGAAATCTTCAGAAGGAATGTCGTTGTTTTGTCACACTGTGAAACTCTCGCTTACCCCTGTGACACGCCACCGTTTCTTTTTTTTTTCAAGAAGGAATGTCGCTGTTTTGTCACACTGTGAAACTCTTGCTTACCCCTGTGACACGCCACTGTTTCTTTTTCATCGTCCTTTCGCCGTCATTCATTCCTCTTGCCGTCATCACGTTTTCATACACTCTTCCGCTACTACCGTCCTTGCAATCGCTGTGACTTTGGAAGACCTGTTCCATTTCGATCCTGTCCTCTCAGACTTTGCCATGAGGTTATTGTCAATTGGGCCCTCTCCGTGAAACGTCAGTATCCATCTGCACTTATCTGCCATCATTACCGTCTTCTCACCATGCCGCATCTTCTACAAATGTACCATGGTGTGCATGAGGATTCGAATTGCTCGACATCAAACCAGTGGTCATGTCATCCTACTCCTCCGCCACTGTATGCATCTGATTTGGCCTGGAATGCGCAGTACCGTGTTCCCAATCGATATACATTCCTCAGGTGAAACTACTTGGCATCGTCAAAATAGGTCACTGTATGCGTTTATCCTGACAGTTTGCAATTTGATGACCAACGCACACCATAAAAATTCATGATCACACAATCCGTCACATTTCAGCCTGCAAAATCGAGAGACGCTCGAAATGCGATGCACCAATCACTATAAGAAGTGATGCCCCAAGAGTGTAAGTTCTTCATCCACCTCTGCTCGACTCATTGCCAACCTTGCTTTACTGCTCAGTTTTCGTCCACATTGCTCCTCTGCATTGTTGTGTTCTCATTGTTCACGTTTCATCGAGATTCTCTTGCGATCTACCTCCGGCTGAAAATTCAGCTTTATAGGTCTCGATCCCCATACTTTCTAACCTTTATTAACTGCTCAACTGAACCATGTCCCGTACTGAAAGTCAACAACTCTCGCATCCGTGCCGGGTTATTTACTGCGGTGAAGCCGGGGAAGAAGTGAGTAGACTGCGTTGCACATCAACTTGACTCGCCGGTCTTTGCTGACGGTTTCTTCGTAGGGCCCCGCACCGAAACCTGCCAACAAAGGCTTCCTCTCCCACCACGCCGCAATTCTGCCGTCCGGAATGAATGAAGGCGACGAGTTTGCCAACCCGCTGTATCTAACGTCATACGGTTCTCAAGCGGATTCCTTGACCCCTGGATCTTTGTATGGGATGACCTGCAAGATGATTGGCACAAATGACAAGAATCCCGATCATTTACACTTCGAGAACGCTAACCGCATCAACTTTGGGGTAGTTGAGCAACTTGGTATCAATGTCACGTCTGAGATGATGGACAAAGTCCAGATCATTGCCTTAGGTATAATTGTCGGAAAAGATATCATCAAGGATCCTGCTTACAAGGGCAAACCAACCGTCGTGGCTACAATCAAGCATACTGATTATGATCCCTTCGTTAGTTTTGTTTGTGTTCTTCTCTGCGACTTACGGCCCCTCTGATAATGCTTTGTTCTTAGACCCGAATGTCTATTAGTTGGTGCACAAAGCACTATATCCCGCCTGTTCGCAACATGGAGCGTGCCCAAAGTCTATGTGTCATTGGCCGTGAGGCTCAATTTACCAGGGTCATCAAGGATTACAACACTGAGAAACATATGTGGGAGTCCGAAGTGAGTGCTGCATGTCTCTACATGCTGGGAAATCCACTGATGTGCTTCGGCTTCAAGGTTAACGCAATCAGTGTGACTTTGGGGCACTTGACTGAAGGCCCATTGACTCCTACGAAGGCAATGGGAAGACCAACCGGGGGTCGAATTCCACTGTCTGTGTAAGTCTTACATTGGTGTGGTGCCGTTAACTCTATGTAGTGGTTGAGTTAACGACTCTTCCTCGCAGGCGCAGCAAGGCGGCGAAAGTGGTCAATAAAGAAGAATCCCGCCCTGATCCTTACGATGGCGAGCCGCATCATGAGGCCGAGAACGACACCTTGGATCAAAGTGGATCAGTCCCGAGTTCCTCCGCGCCGTTAGCAAGTGACAGTGCTAAGCTTGCGACGCCCTCCAACAAGCGTCCGCGCTGCGAGTTGTAAAGCAACCACATTTGTTCATCGGCCGCGTGCAAGGACACGACGTTGCCTGACTCCCGTCGTTCACCATAAACAAATTGTGGCTTGATTCACTCCATCTAATCCACTTGATCTCTAATCCTTATCACAATATCTGATACCAACCACATAGGCTTTTGTCGATCCTTATTAATTCCGTTGGTCCTCATGTTTGTGGATAGGCTTTTGTAGATCGCCATTATTTCTGCCTACTCTCACCTCTTTCGATGTAGGATGTGTAGCGCTGCTCTCTGTCATTGTCGCATGATACCACCTTCATGTGTTTCTGCTCATTCGTTGGTTCACTTGAGATGGAAATATATCTTGCGGCAAATGCGCGCGCGTGCTTTGTTCTCTCTCTACGCCATGCCTCACGTGCCGAAGAGGGCAGTGAATGCATTGAACGCACACTGCGTTCCTTATCCTTTCTGCGCCACCGAATTTAACACTGAATCGTCAATGTGGTGGTGAGCTGGCGTTGGGACTGTGTTAAATGGATTAGTTATGCAGCGCATATCACTGAGGTCTTTTGTGTAACATCCGCTAAATGTGGCGGGGGATCAGGTTTGCAGTGCGATGAGGTATTTGGGGGAATATAATGTGGAATGGTTCATGAGGAGATGGCTAATACATGCTACTTTGTAACTGCTTGGCATCCATGACTGCGTCCAGGGGAGCGCATTGCTGCATCACCATGTAGATTGCCGACGCTTCGTGAGGCATGTTTCCGATGGCCTCGATGACTCTCACAAGGCTACCTGCAAACACATGCGGTGCGAAGTTGATGTCTTTAGGTGATGATGGCCACTTACTGTCACTAAACTGGGTGTTTGTTTTCCACAATGGGAGAGGCCTTCGAAAACAAAGTATTCGAAAACAAAGTATCCGACTGAGCGGTCGACTCTCCTTTTTGATGACGTTGAGAACACGGTTTTCCAGAACCGCATCGTCTCATTGACATCATTGGTGCTAAGGGGTGCGGGTATTGAATTGTAGCACCGACGAGTATCACTTGACCACGTATCCCGGTTGGGAAGCCGAGACGTGCTCTTAACTGGGACCTTTACGAGGTGACCATATCTTTCATCTTTTAGTCGGCAAGCGTTCTGATACCCAATACGTGCCAATGAGACAAGTTCAATCAACTACGAGTCTCAGCACGGATTGGAAGGGGGTGGTGACGGCACTACAAGTCATCGGTCCGCTTTGTTGGGTGTGGAACTCCCCAACTTTGGTCCTTTTTTCGGGTCAAACGTATTACCCAATTGTGGATGACCTACCGTGTTGGTATAGGAGGTGTTCTCATCAAATCGATAACGAGACCTTGCTCGATGGGGCATGTGAAACATTCAGCATGTGACGAATCGGATATTGCTGCATGGCCCATCTGTAGGAGACGTTTCACGCTGACGTCCAAGAACGTACGAAGTACAAATATGGTGATGGGAAGCGCCGATGATGTGAACACGAACTTTCTACTTAGCACGACGTAAGCCATGAACGGCAACATCTGTGTCACCACACATTCTTCAAAGCTCAAACCAATCATCGAATGCAGCGACATGGAGTCTTAGAGTCTTAGTGGAACAGTTGACGCAATCGATGTACACGATGGTGTTCTCACTGTGCGCAAGCTCTTGCGTTGCAATCGTGGAGGTGATTTAAGCACCGCTGTAGGTCAACGTAGCGCCTAATTTCATAGATATTGCTTCACATTTGTTTATAGATATCCAAACCAATTCCTTCACCTGAGGCCCCACATGCCTAAAGTCGCCGTCAGAGATCGAAGTGAAAATAAAGAAAAAAGGTTGTTAAGAAGATTCAAAAGCGAAATACCGCATCGGATTGGCGGTTTGGACGACCATTGTGAACACTGTGGAGCCTTGCATTGGCGCAAAGAGAAAGTCAGAGCTAGAGGGGTCGACAATCCGGCACATTACTCGATGTGTTGCAGAGGTGGGCAAGTCGCCCTCCCGCGACATTACTTTGATTTCCCCCCCCGTTCCACAACTACTGTACGATCTTCTAACTAAGGACCATGTCAGTAAGTTAAGCTCGACTCAATGACACAAAGGATGCAGCTGCTGACAATTTCATAACAGAAGCTTGGAAGTTCCGAGCCCACATTAGAGCGTATAACAATGCGCTGAGCTTCACTTCATTAGGAACGTCAATGGATGAGTCAGTTATTGGTCATTGTTTCAAGATACAAGGTCAATTGGTTCACAGACTTGGTTTGATTTTGCCACCGGCTGAGGGCGAGCCTTCATTCGCACAAATATACGTAATGGCCCCCGAGATCGAAGATGAGGCCCGTCATCGTGTCAAAGTGTCTGGCGTCAAGATTGATCCGGTCATAATGAAACAGCTTATGCATTTTTTTTATGAACACAATCCGTATGCGAAGCTGTTCAGATCAGCCTACAATATCATGAAGGAACACAAAACAATTGCAATTCAGTTGAAATCAATTCAGCCAACACCCGAACAAGCAGCCGGTCACGACATTAGAACTTACGCCCGACCATCCGCCACTGAGGTCGCCATGATCGTTGATGACTCTGTGGAAATTGGGAAGGGGGATAGGGATATTATTTTGTATTCAACGGATGACAAATGGCACAGGCTTTCAGATTTGCACACGGGGTATCTACCTTTGCGATACCCAATACTATTCCCTTACGGCCAGCAGGGCTGGGATGAGCATTACCGAGTTCCAACCGAAGACGGTACGAAGTTTTCTTTCGCGTGTTTTGAGCCATTAGAGAGCTGATGGGTTGTTGTCAATAGGTGAAGGTGCTACGGTGTCGTCGCTTGCATGGTTTGCTTACTTGCTATTCGACAGGAAGAATGAATTTTCGAATATCGTCGCGTCGAAGTTCCTGTTTCAGGAATTTTGTACGGACTTATACGCCTGCGTAGAGCACAGTCGTCTCAATTGGTTTCGCACTCACCAAGAAGACATACGGGCAGAACTCTATTCTGGCGCGGTGGAAGCGTTGGGTCGTAATGATTTTGCCATTGGACAGCGTGTTGTGCTACCAGCTTCACACATTGGAGGCCCACGAGCCACGGTGCAATTATATCACGATGTGATGGCATTGGTCCGACACTTCGGCCAACCCAGCTTTTTTATCACTATGACGGCGAGTGATCATTGGCCCGAAATCCAGGAGAATTTACGTTACGGCCAAACAGCCATGGATCGGCCGGATTTAATGACTAGAGTGTTTGATTTGAAACTGGAAGAACTGATTGATGATATCACGAAGAAGGGCAGATTCGGTGATTGTGTCTCACACATTTCCACAATTGAGTTCCAAAATCGTGGTTGCCCCCATTGTCATTTCATTCCAATCTTAACAAGGGAAAGCACACCACGAACACCTGATGCGGTCGACCTCATAGTCAGAGCTGAGATGCCCGACAAGGAGAAAGAGCCCTTACTGTACAAGCTGGTCACGAAGTTTATGTTACACGGCCCCTGCGAAAAGGGGTCGCCTTGCTGGCGAGACAATCACTGCCGATTCGATTTCCCGAAGGAATATGCGGAGGCCACGACTATGACAGATGATTCATATCCGACATATCAGCGCAGAAATAATGGTGTAACGGTTGTGAAAGATGGACATACCTATACGAACCGCGATGTCGCCCCGTACAATGCTTATTTGTTGCTGAAATATAGATGTCATATTAACGTTGAGGTGGCGGTCAGCTTTCATGCTTTGAAATATTTGTACAAATATATCACAAAAGGCCACGACGGTGCCTCCTTATCAATGGTCGCAGAGAATGAGATTGAAACGTTTGTAAATGGGAGGAGTCTAACAAGCCTGGCTCGCAGCGTAACAAAGAACGCGCAGCGCGGCGAAGCGCTGCGCCAGGCGCTGCCGCTTAACTACCTGGATAGTCAAAGTCACGTGCGCAGCGTCTTTCGCTTCGGATTTGGGGTTGAGCTTTTTTTAACTACGCTCCCAGCTACTGGAGCCGGGTCAGCCAACTATCTTCAACCACACGCTATTTGCCAGCCACAAATAAATCAAATCACATAATCGTGATCAATCTACTCAATCCGACACCCTTCTAGACTACAACGGTCAACCCCCTTTTCTCTCTCACTTCATTCTACCGTGCAACAAACCGACAGCTTCAACCATTGAATGATGTTGATTTAAGATAGAGAAGTCTCATGATCATTGAGTTGATCGTAAAATCAAACACTTAGAGATACAGTCAGTTTCTTTACTTTCTCAAAAAAAGAATTGATTGAAAACCTCACTTGAACTGATTCCATCTCTTGATTTTCCAAATTAAACAAACTAAAGGGATATGAAGTGACTGAAGATCAGAATGCGGAAAAAATCAAGTGGAATAGTAGAGTAATAACCCTCTCCCCCTCACAAAATGAAGACCACAAAAAAAAGTTTCTTTAACTCAAACTGATCTCTGATCGACGTTTCTCTTCACCAAAACAAATGGATGATTCGACTTTAACAGTCGAACAGTTTTAACTTTTGTTGCACAACCACCTGATACAGATGAAAGGATCTATCTATTTTATACAGATGAAACAACATTGGGAATTAAAATCATGAGAAAGTAAGTAAATCGTTCACAACACCTCAGAAAACCCCCTTCAAGATGCACCTTCCAATAACAAACCCATTAACTAAATCTGCATGAATTCCTTTTGATTTCTTGTTTTTTATTCTATTCAAGTTTAATGCTGTATTAGACAAGCGAAAAATCGAAACTGTGATTTTGATCTATGCATCAGCAATGACCTCATCAGCCAATAAAGTGATAGTTTCAATGGCACAACGATTCACATCAGGAGCTTTCCAAGAAGCAGAGGTGTTGATCTTCACTTTTTCAATCACCTTGTTTTTAAGTTGATGAACAGTAACAATCTTAATCTTTATGATCATCGATACCAGCTATTGAATCATCTCGAATTTGATTAAGTGTTCAATCTTGTATTCATCTGAACTATTCAAGTGGATCGATAACATCTCTACAACCTTTTTAACCCAACTGCTTTCTTAATTGAACTTCTTGTAAAATACTTGCAGCTGAATTTGAACCTAAATCATGTAGTACACTTGTTATCTTTCTATTCAAGGCGACTTAATGTCATGCTAGTTCATTACAATATTTATACTTCAAACCACTTGTGCGCGACCATTTTTTCTTTTTTCTCAAAGTGATGGTGAAAAGGAAAAAATGTTTTTTTTGCCTGAAACGCTGCGAAACGGTGCGGAGGACAACTGCGCTTTCAGCTACTAAATCCGCAGAAAATCCTGCCCCCGCTTACGCTAAAGTTACCCATCTTGCCTCCCCTCAAATAAAGTTACGCTGCTAATTTAAGTGTTTTCAGCGCTGCGCAGCGCTGCGAGCCAGGCTTGATTGCAATGCTCTTGGTCATGAAGCAGTAGCGGTGGCTTCATCGGGCATCGCTGCTTTGCTACTCTACCAGGGAACCACTGCTCACACTGGACTCAAAATTCCATTAAATCCTGATGATGAATCGATGTGTACGTTTTCAACAAATGATAAAGTTGGAAGAATGCTCAGTAGCTGTGAAGTAATCATATGGGACGAGATATCAATGCAAAATAAGAAGGACATCCATTGTGTGGACCGCTCCTTGCGCGAGTTGCGAAATGTGGACTTACCTTTTGGCGGTGTTAGAATGCTTTTTTCGGGCGACTTCCGCCAGACGTTGCCGGTGGTGCCCCACGGATCGATCTCTCAGCAAGCAGCAGCTTCGTTCAAGCGATCTTATCTGTGGCCGTTAGTATCTCAGTACCGTTTAGTGACCAATGTTCGGTTACTGGGTGGACGTCATTCAAGGGCGGTGAGAGCGCGCAATCTAAAATACGCTGAATGGCTCTTAGCTCTGGGATCTGGGGATTTGCAAACAGAAACGGAGGCAAGTGTCGATTTGGGGGATTTGAAATCTCATTGCATTCCGTCACGACTGGTATTTGACACTACTGCGGCCAAGAATATGTACAAAAAGGCTGATAAAATAGTGCAAAAGAATGCGTGGTCCACCTTGGCGGCATATTATGAAGCTCGCATGATTATCACTCCGCTGAACAGGACGGTAGCAGCAATTAATGACGATATTTTGGGGGTAATTGACGGTGAATTGTTCAATTCAAAATCGATTGACGAAAACGACCCCTCCACGACCTGTGAACCATTGGCACCGGAAGTACTTAACACCTTGAATGTTCCCAACTTTCCCGTTCACGACCTGAAATTGAAGAGGGGGATGCCTGTGATATTGTTGCGAAACTTGAACTTGAAGCAAGGTTTGTGCAATGGCACACGTTTGTTGATTAGCCACGTCGGGGAGTATGTATTGACGTGCAAAATTATCAATGGACCGCGAAGAGGAAATGACATTACCATACCGCGGATCAACTTGCACCATCCTGGCAACAGCAATTGTCCCTTACCATTCTATCGATTTCAGTATCCGATTGCCTCAGCGTTCTGCATGACGGTAAACAAATCGCAGGGCCAAAGTCTTGATGATGTGTTAGTATTCCTACCGAGTCCTGTCTTTTCACATGGGCAATTGTACGTAGCACTATCGCGGTGTACAACGATGGACAAAATTGGGGTTTGTATGTCAAAGGCAGAGGCTTCGAAGACAACACAAAATATTGTGTTCAAAGAAATTCTTGACTGAGATTGTGCAGGATCTTCATCTGGTAAGTTCCGGATTTAACTATATTGACATTGGGAAACACTGACGTTGTATCCATACGATTTTGGTTGTTAGGTGGTTAATCAGTGTATGGCGTATGACACATGTTGGTTGGGGGGGGATTAGGCGTCTACTTGTTTTTTATTAGCAAAGCGCTTTTTCATCACAACAGGACGATGCATTTCCATGATTGTGAGTAAGGCAAATATAGCAGCTGGATTTGTGTTCCCGGCATGCATATGCGTGGTCGTTGCAGGAGTGGAAGGAGTCAGTGTTTCTACAATGCACGTCAACTTCATTGTAGGTGGCGGTGCAATTAATCGATTATGTGGATTTCTTGAAACTAAAGAGCTTGAACTTTGCGCAATGGTGAGAGACACTGTGTGCCATCAATAGTATGTTGCATCGGAGGGCACTGCTTCAAGAGCCACAACTGAGTGTCTACAACTTCGGCAACTGTGTTTTTGGGGTTATTAAATAGTTTTGCTACAACGTGACGTACGAACTCACTGATACGTTTCGCTACAAAGTGACGTAGGAACTCATCAGTACATATTGATAGGGAGGGGCTTGGCGAAGGGCGAAGAAGCCCTACCAACAAATTGAATGTAAGGTGCTGTTGTTACACCAAGAGCATTTGTACGTGGTGTGAGATTGTAATCGTACTCGCTTAGGCCCAGGGTCCCATTGCAGGCGGTGTTGATGGGATATGTACCGTGAACAAAGGGATACTATGGTCGCTGAATACTCTCATAAGGGAGAAACCCCGTGTTGCATTGACATGACGTGTGGAACACGAGACCATGGAGCAGAAAGGGATCAAGGGTCTACTCAACATGCGATGAATTCAACTGACTAATTGGGTTGCTGTGGTCTGGAGGATTGGCGCATATGGTCCCACTTCCTCATTTGACACACTGTCAACGTTTTTCCTGGAGGTTGTGAAGTTTTAACATCTGCACCCACAATTCATTCTACACATTATCTCGCCATCTAACACAATTTCACGCCGTATTGATACTCACATATGGCGAATCAGTACGTGCAACGCTTGCCAATGCGGCAACACAGCATATTGCGAATGGACGGAATGGTGAGTGGCGTTATGGAGAGACAGGTGTTTGCTATCTGACAACTGTATTCTTTTTGGTAGGCAGAAGACGAGAGATGTGACGAGTATCACAGGGCGACACTGATACTGAATGAAACTTATGCATCAAAAGAAATCTTGATAGTTAAGAATGCCTTTGACCCACAGCTGTCTTTTCATCGCACTTATGTGGTTTCCGGGGGGATGTTGACGCGAGCAACGGGGGAGGTCGTGCTGATTCCGGATTATGAGACGGTCATGGAGGTCGCAGTCTTGGACGTGGGAGATTGGTCTGTGCCAAACAGAGTGGTGATCACCAGTCGCGGTAAAATTGTGGAGTGTGTGGTGCGGAGGTCATTCCATGATGTTTTGTTGTTTGTAGAACATAGAGACTGGGATGCTGGAGTAGGTGGTTCATTGGCTTCTTTGTGTTGGCTGTGAAGCACGGTGCTGACTCAATGCGCTGCAGACCGGTCAATGGGTGAAGTTTCTAGGCCTCTATGGATGTTGTGAAGGTACTATGGATCATTTCGATGAAGATGTGCTGCGGGTGGGCAACATGGTGGATTTCAGTGGCAAAATTGTGGGCTTCAACGAGCCGTTGGGGGCTTGGTACATTGAGGTATTTCTTTTTTTCACTCTCCAAAGTTGTTTAGTTCTGACAACGGTTTTAGGTTTCCAATTGTTTATTAGTGTCGGTGGGGAGGGAACAGGGAGCGGCCGGTGATGGGTTGTAGCGTTGGTGCTGTGTTTTAACATGTTGTACGGCGATCAGTGGGTTTTATTTGTACCACTTATGCTGGAGGATGTGCATGTTGTATGTCATCGTGAATATCGTGGAAGTGGGGGGGTTGTTTGGCAATTGTAATGTGGGGTTCTCAGTGGCAGTAGGGTCAATGGGCGCTGCACGCTGGGTGCGTTGGGGAAGTGAAGAAAGCGTTGGACGGCATGGATGCCAGGTTTGGCGGCGCGGATGTTCAATATTACATTGCAGCCTATTGGGTAGTGGCTTGATGCTGCAATCAGACAACGTGCACACAACGTATGGTCAAGTGGTGCTAAAGGGGTGGGGGAACTCGATGGTTGTTTGCGCATCCCGGAGTGTTTGCTGCAGGGGTGGAACAATTAGAGCGTTGAAAGGCCGTGATGAGTGACCTGATGACCGTTACGTCAGCAGCCTATACAGGGAAATGTGGTAGCAAGCTCAAGTGGAGACTTACGTGGACGACAAAATTCCCACTTGCAGTATGTTTACTCATGATATTACCGTGGAGCCAAACAGTCTTTCCAACGGTAAGTTTGCCCCATTTGCGAGGAGGTGGGGTGTGGCGGAAAAAATGGTATGTGACTTGAAATGAGAAGCTGCGGCGAGTCTGTGAAAACTTCAGCTGGTGCTAACGTTTAGGAACCCAAATGGCTTACTATAGGATGGTAATAATCGTGAGTCGCCACAATTTCCAAGTTCCATTGGAACACGTCATCGGTTGTTTCAATGAAATTGACAGCAGCAATTCTGCCAAGACCACTGAGGGTTGCACGACCGACGAGACGGCGGTAGGTAGCTTTGAACTCACCCACGTCCACGTGAGTCCCAGCATTGTGTTGGATTATAGTGGTGCCAGTGTCCACTTCATAACTAAGGGGGCCACTGATGGTATAAGCGTGTGAGCATTTCAATACCTCGGTCTGTGTGACAAAGCCCAAGGCGGTGACTGGGTGAACAAGGATAGACCCGTCTGAATCATTCAATAGTAGTGAGGCGGTGCTTTGATGCCACTGGAAGAATCCACGACTGAGCTGCATCGACTGGGGAGGAAACAATAATCAGATGTGTTCGTCAGGAATAGATTGAATTGGAGAAATTACATGTGTAGTCACTGGCAGTGTGGCGGTGATGATGGCTGCATGTAGCATTGTAATGTGAAATTAACTGCGAGTTGTGATTGAGGGTTGTTCCGATAGAGGTGAAGATGATGTATCCTATATATAGGGAACAACTCTGACGGAAATATTTCTGCAAAAGCCATTGGTGAGTCATTACGACTTTGAAGGTGGAGAGCCGATGACCAAAACAGTGGCTAAGGGCCACAGGGATGATACCAGTGTCATATCTTAGCGAGGAATGCCCCAATGTTGGTGTGATGATTCGCACATCAAGATGTTGTTATATTTCACTGGAACGAGTGTCAGGTAGTGGTGAGCTGTGGGTATCTTGCCCGAAAAATGCAAGTGGATGGGGTGTGTGAACGTCCTTGGCGGTGCAGGTCGAAGACTGCCTGACAGATTAATCGGGTGTTGGGGCGGTGGGCATTGGGTGTACATGCATCGGCACTAGGATTGAGCGGGGGCAAACGTTGTGGTGCTGAGGAGCATTGGTGACTGTCCGATGCAACGAGTGTCACATCGTGGTGGTTTTTCAGTACGGCGGGGAATGTGAATCGAGAATACCCAAATTTGGTGGCTTTGGCAAAAGTATAACGTCTTCACAAAATAGCATATGGGATGAGTATAAAGAATCACTGGATTGGGAGAGTGTGGCAAGGTGTCACGAACTGCGTTGGAATGTGAGAATGTGGGGGTGATTAGACGAAGGCAAATGTTCCCTTGCGGAGGCGTGTGTTTCTTGAAAGGTGTGACTATTGCGTAGCAATGGTGGTCGTAATATTATTTCATCGGGACTTGGGGCAGGAGGTTTGGGGTGATGGGTTCCGAATGGAGCACGACGGGACCCTGGGATGGTATGTGCCATGATCATTGGCCTATACGAGGGGAGAGCAGTTGTGGTCAGGCTTATTGTGTATAAATTCAAATATAAAAAGGATGCGTACAAAGAGGTGGTGGCAACTTAGAAATCCTCGCACCAAACTCGCCATCATCATGTCTGCTAATTCGAACATCATCTCTGTGACCAGAGAATCGACGATTGTGCATCCTATTGTAGTACAATTTATAGGTCGACTTGGCGCTCAGGCGAGTGGTTCTGTGGAATATTATGTCATCAGCATTCCAAATCATTGATACCTTTGCTGTTTTTATTTAGGTGCCTAACGAACGTCGCAACGCACTTGGTTTCGTTTGCCATGAGACCACGATTTCGACATCTGGTCTTGATAGAGCCTCCCCGTCCAATACCGCCATCCTCTTGATCTCCCCTCAAGACGCCATCAAAAAACTTCAACAGGGCGATGTGTACACCATTAGTTGTAAGTTGATCAGTTCGAACAATCACAGGTTAGATGATCTCTATTGCGGAGCAACTACGATTTTGAGGATTGGGAAGAGTGATTTTGTTGATGTCGAATACGAGAAAGATGTTGAAATATTCTTACCAAGAATGGATCTGAACAATGCCGATTCAGAGATCCTCAAGAGTCTAAGAAATGGTGTCATATGACTCCTCGCAAGATCAAAATATGGGTTGATGCAATTGTAAGTTATATCTTGTTAAGATCGCTTTGGTCACAGTTGTGCTGATGAGACTCCAAAATCCTCAGATACTAGCTCGTCAAGAAGATCGCACCGATGTTGATTTATGGACTCCTCCTAAGTTACCAGCTTTCAAGACCTTCCTCAATGGACAGCTTCCTCCAGGGTATCTCGAGTTTCCAGACAATCCCCCACCGGTCGGATTCATGGCTGCTGCTCCTGCACCTCTGCCACAACAACCAATCCCATCAGCTACCCCAGCTCAACTACACAATGACCGTATCTATCAACACAAATACTCTGGAGATATGGAAGACTTTCTCAATTATGCTGAATTTCCTGAAAGTGATCATACTTTGAGGACAAGGTTAAGCAATGCTCATTACACTCGTTGGAGTGAGCTCAAGCCAAGTGATGATATGAACAGTCAAGAATTAAAAGTGATTGGCATAGCTCGAGGTGATGCAAACCATCTCCTTGCAAGTGCAGTTTGGTACAAGGAATTTTTACTTGCAAAGCTTGCAAAGATTGATGCGCAACAGCTTTGATCAATTTCTTTTTTCTTTTTTTCACTCTGTATTGCAATCTGTGATTGTTTTCTCTGTATATTCTCTCTTCTGTTCCTTATCATGATCTCCTTTGATAGCACATCATGTTTTATTTTGATGATCTGCTTTGAGTAATTGTTTTTTTCATCTTCTTCTTTTGTGATCTGCTTTGATCAATTGTTATTGTGCTTTTTTTCTTTTCAATGTTATTCTTTGTGATAGTCTCATTTCAATCTTCCACTATGTATTTTTAACCCCGAACTGTTCTGCAATGCTGGCTTTGTTTGTGATATGTGAAATAAAAAAATGTATTGTTCTTTGAATAATCAAAGCAGTCTGAATTGTCAAACACCAGTTGGTTGATGAGCAACTTTCTTGTTGAGGAAAAAATCAAGTCACCTTGACAACGGACTTGTCAAATCATGAAAAAGTTCAGGATGGGAACTGTTGGAAAGCTGCATTCAATGTTCAAATTTATGATTGCATCAAAAAAGTCTGAACAAGGAAACCACGATAAGAATTACAATTGACAAAGTTGGAAAACAATAATAAGAACTAAAATAATAATTCAAATGAAATAGACACAATCTCTTTTTGTTACTTCTTCTATAAATCATGTTTCTTTTCACAAAATTTCCTGTTAACCTACTCAAAAATCAAAAGAATTGGTTAGTTTTGTCTCATTAACTATTTTTTGTCATATGGTTCAAGGAAGGAAAGACTTACTGTGATAATGCTCAAATAACTTTGCATCAATCTCAATATATGGATCCGGAATAGAGGCTACGGATGAGTTTGGGAGTGAGTGCTTCCTCAGCATGACAATAAATGACCTCCGCTTCCTCTTCTAATGACATATTTTCTTGAAGATCACCACTTCTTTTGAGTCGAGATTTGATGATATCAAAAGCCTTCTCGATTGGATTGTACTCGGGGCCGTATGCAGGTAGGCAAAGTATACATACACCAAACTGCTCACAACGTCACCCTGGGAAAACAGTGTACAAAATTGGTGTCTGCCCCATCACCTAGTAACTTTGAGGTTTGGACCAGAAATATCATCTACCTTGAATTGATGAACTCCAGTGATTCTGTGCTGTTGTTAGTTCAGTGATGTAATAGATGAAGGGCTTGAAAGCAATGTTTGATTTTCTTTTACCAAGCACTTCATGAACCAATTTGTGCAAAAGAGAGAGTTCACCAGTAGATGGAACAATGTGCAAGTTTACGTAATCATTCAATGGCCTGCTACCTTTCTCTTTTTGTTCCCAGAGACATGTGGGATGTTGCTCTTGATCTTGATCCACATTTTCACTACTTACACCCCATACATCATCTGTGATCTTCTGGTGTACTTGGATTGTCTCCTCTGGGTTCTACTTTTGTTTTGTGTTGATATCAGGTGTGCCATGCAGGAATATTTTTCAACGCTTTTACTTTTTCACTGCATAAACTGCCACTTGAACCTTGATCTATCCTTCTTCAAGGCCAATTAAATGCTTTGATTTACTGGTCCAAGAAGCCTCAATATCAATCATGAAGAAGCAATGTGGATATGGTACCCATGTCAGTTCCAAAATCGAGGCAGAACCAGTGACCATACAAACTAAACTCCATTTGGCTGCAGTCCTTCCAATGAATCAATAATGTTTGGTTCCTCATCACCGCACTTCTATTTGACTCAATTGGAACAGTTAAAGGAGTTTATGATCCTGCCAGAAGGAATTGTTGTAGATTGGTTCAAATTGGGCTGTCTTTGGGAACAATTGATGCATATAATCAATGCTGACACAGTTCTGAGGTCTTTATTTGTTCAGCTCAACCAAGCTCAAGTTGAATCAACTTCTCAATTTTCATGAAAATCAAGCCTTATTTTAGATGATTTTGAACAATTCACCTACATATAATTTACTGAATTCATCCACTTTGTCAATTGTTGAACGTCTTCTTGCTTCTCCCAATTCAATAGGTAGGGTGTCTCAAAAATTGTTCATGTAGGGATGTCAGTTGGTGATAGTTTTTCGTAGTTGGATGAGATCATTCCAAAGTTAAAAAATCGATCGATGTATTTTCCTTTTAGGTAACAGCAGTAATTTTCAACTAACAAATTCTTGTTCAATGTGATCTGATGCATTTTAAAAAATTGAGCTACTTAATGCACTGGTACACCGATTGCTTTCCCGTGTCTACAGAGATCAACGCTCCAGACTCATTATTTATTCAAGATTATAAAGTTCAGACGTGATACGGCGCCAGTGTGGACCATCAACAGCAAATTGTGTGATATAGTCGCGTTCAATTGGATTCAATCGCTGACCAATTATGATCAGACTATGGAGTGGTAGCCCAAAGGTTTTCCCTTCCACGTCTTCCAGGTTGAGTAATTGAGTTAAAGTTCCAGCATGAAATGCTTGAGTGCTTGAGCCGACTCGACTGACGGAAATACCTAGGGTGACATCGGGGTTGATAGTACGCCTAGGCTTGTGGTCCACTGGGTTCTTAGAGTCAACAATACTCTCCACTAGAGTTTCGTTGTGTTCGGAGTCGGTATCGTTTGTAAGGTCGGGTGTTGGCTCCATGCAGATCATGAGTTGACTGATGGCTGTAGGGATTGTCATATACCGCGCTGGCTCATAAATCTTTCTGCCTCTGTTTTGGTAAAATCAAGATTTGAAGCTATGAGTGGACATAGAACTTAAGTGGTGTTCAAAGACAAGATCACGCTAACCTGGCCAAATTTTCTACAGACTGTTCCTTCACTTTGATATCGAGTAAAAGCAGTGTGTGCAAGCCTAGTTCGAGATTATCAAGCAAGCGATCAACCCAACTTGTAGGTTTCCAATTCCCGTCAAAGAACGGAACAGAGACTGTTTGACCAAAGTTATACAGGCTTAGTCCGGTTGCGCCGATAGCGTTGAGGATGGAAGCATTGTGAAACGTTTTATATCCAATCCCGCTCTCTTTACATCGCAGTAAAAGGTCAGTATGTGTTGTGGCTCTGGCTTGGTTTAGATCGAGTTCTCAAAGAGAGTTGAAAAAATGTGACAGAATACAAGCGGTCAGCTAAGTTGTAGATAGAATTGATTGATTTTTCCATCTCTCATCACCGTTGAAATTGACATATGTTCAGATTTTTAAAGTCAAGGGCTTACCCAAATGGATCACCCACTACCAAGAAAGATACATTTTTGACTTGGGCTTCTTCCAATATTTTATCAGATTGAGTCTCTACCATGTCTCGGTCCGCAACCACTATGGATTTCCCGTAAAACGTTTCCTGCAGAAATCATCACCATCATCATCAAATACAACAAATGGCGATCACACACTAAATCCAACTCACAAGTTCAGAAACACTAGCTTCCATCAGAAAAGACGTGTAGGACTCCAAATAGACACGTTCACTGGATTTAATAGCGTTCAGACCTGCAAGAGTGATATCCTCGGGAGATGAAAGTCCAAGACCGATGAGGTAAAACATGTTTAAATAAAGCGCTTGGGTTGCCCGATGTATTCAATGGTTCGTATAGTGTTGGTGGATTGCTTGCTTGCTTGATTGGTTGGTAATCTTGATTGATTTCCTTCTCCCGTGGGAAATGGTAAAATGTGGATTGGAAATGGAATCAAACACCGCCCGCATACATTTTCAAAAAAATTCTTGGCAGAAAAAAAGCTTGTTACAAATCCCGGTCAAATCCCCGAAACCCCGCCGATTTACTCGAGTTTTGCGGGCAAAAATTAAAATCGGTCAAGCTTTTCCGATTTGACTGTACCTTGGCTTAAGTACTTTAGACCTTAAAGATACCGTTTTGCAGCGAAACTGTCAAGAGTCACATTAGGACCCTGGAAAGCTCCTGGAGAACAAACCGTCCTGAGGGGGTTTTCGGATACCGGTGTCTTGTGAAGTCATGTCACATGGTACCAGAGATGTGACAGGTGCAAAAGATGCGCCTCAACGAGGGCTATCAGATGGTACACATGTCTGACCCTGAACATGACTGGTGGCTTGGGAAATGTGTGATTTGTAACTTTTGCCCCCCCAGACCGACGAAAATCCATACCGGCTCGGGTCGGGTACTTACATACGGATATCTCGGTGATTACACGTGGTACAGAACTGAAAGTATATGTAATCGAGAGCCCTGATCAAGGCGCTTCTCCTACCACCGAGAAATCCATGTTAACCCACCTCTCCTCGGGGCAAATAGTGAAAGTGTGAGGGCCGGGGCCGGAATGGATCGAGGACGGTTTGTTCTCCAGGAGCTTTCCGGGGTCCTGTCACATTGCTTCCTCGCCACAACTTTTTTCAAGAAAAGAATCAAACAGCGACCAAGTCTCGCCAAGATTGATAATGCCTTACTTATCCGAAGACAACAAGGTATGTTCATTCAGATGTGAAATTCCCTTTGCTTAGGATGCATATATAGCTGATACTTCACCATGAATCACATAGGATCGTATCAACGGAGCATGTGCCGTTCTCAAAGTAAGCTATCCATAGTGTTCATCTGTCCAGCATATCACCCGATTCCCAATTTAACGAGCTTCATCACCGAATCTTAGACAATTGTTCATTGGACATGGGTTCCAGCTCTTTTGGCAATCGGATACAGTCAATCTAATCCTAAACCATCCTTGATCAAGTTGAGTCCTTGCTTCTTATGATTCGCTTTACCTTCTTCATGATAGAATTTCAAACTCACTGAAATTCTTTTATAATTTTAATGGGGTCTATGATCGAAACTTTGGTTTTGATTCACACTACGATTCAGACTATTGAGCCCATTGGCCTAATACATGCAACAAATACCTTTCTACCATTCGGTCACGGATGCCGACGAAGTCTTCCTCATCATAGTCTAATTCTAACGGTTTGGGGTGTTGACGCAAAACTGTGGATTACTTACATATCAAGAAAACCTCATTATAGACCGCCTCATGACTCGTGGCCTTACAAAAAAAGAAGATACTTAACGGGACCATGCGATATCCCCAGACTACCTAAACCTTACGAAATTCACTTCTTCGCTCGTACTTCACCTTTGTTTTGCCTCCAAAGTGGGGTTTTCTGGTTCCAAAATTCATAAAAGGACTCATTTCACTCTGTCAAACTGCACCAAAACTGTAATAATCTGCATTTTGACGGTAAATCATATGGCAAATCACATCCAAGACAAATTCATTCGCATGTCACAAAAAGGATGTAGATTACCAGCCGCATTGACCTAAACCTTGCCCTCTGATTTTTTTTCTTCTCACGTAGTCTTTCACTAGCCTCATTGTTCTGGGCCGCATAAAGCCAAAGAAGCTGTTTCATCATATTCAAGAACTGAGTGCTTCCGAGTAGTTCCGAGTTCTTTACTACAAGGATTCGTATAGTTGAGGTCAGAGCCACTGGATTCTAAGTTCCTGCGAGGACTCCTCAAGCTGGGGTGATTGATACTTCCATCTGAAGTTTAGACTGTAGTGAGAAATGACAAACTCGGATGTGGCGCGGGGCAGCCCATGCAGTCTGGCACCTGATCAATCGATGTGTATGTATGTAGATGACGTCATGGAGGTTGATGAGGCAGGACAATGTATCAAGTCAAAATGTTCACTTCTTACTTAATGGCCTGAAGAGTTTCATAAAACCACATTCATCAGCTTCCACTATACTCACCTCGCAATTATTCCGGACCTCTGCAATGACGGCGACTAATAAAGCATCAGCTGCACTTCGACTTATCAATCTAGCTCAACATTCCTTTCAAGGATGTAAGACCCATGGATGTGGTTGTTCTTCGAGCCATGGGGCAGGTCATTCAGCTTTCGATATTCAATCAGCGGCTCGATCAATCGCATCTCAAGGTCGATCTCGAACTTATGCCACCCCAGTATCTGGAAGTGGACCAAAAGTAGAAGCTGATTATGCTTTTGAAGTTTCTGCGGCTCAACTACGTAAGTCTATAAGAGACAGTTCAATCATTAACAAAACCTCTCCTGATATACTTTGCACTTTGCTCCCATTCGACAGGCTTCGGTGATGGAGTGACAAAAGTAAGAATACCAATCAACATGTGATTCTGTGTGTTGAATAGATCGTATCATTAATCCATCAAACGAATAGGAAGTTGGATTAGATTTCAAAAATATGAAAGCCACAAAAGTAGGAGTCTATACGGATTCTACGGTCGCAAAGTTGTTACCTATGAAAACGGCAATCCAATCATTAGAATCGGCTGGAATTCGTTACGAAGTTTTTAAAGATTGTAAAGTCGAACCAAGTCAAGAAAGGTATGTCCGAATTTCATATCAACATCTTCTAAATTAATCGTTGATATCTGACTCTACTGATTCATAATTGTTTAAACTCATTTGTATTGTTTGAGCAGTTGGGAGAAAGCGATTCGATTTGCACGTGAACGGGATTTTTCACATTTCTTAGCTGTTGGAGGTGGATCAGTGATCGATACATGTAAAGTTGCCAATCTATACACTTGTTATCCCGATGCACCACTTCTCGAATTTGTCAATGCTCCCATTGGAAAAGGTTCAACAATCTCTAAGACCCTTAAGCCTCTTATTGCGGTACCAACGACTGCAGGAACTGGTTCAGAGACTACTGGTACTGCAGTGGGTTATTCATCTGGTTCTTGAGAATCTTTTGATAAAAAGGCTGACTTATGCTTTCTTTTGGTCATGATTTGTTAAGATTTTTGATTATACACCATTGCAAGCCAAGACAGGAATCGCAAATCGCGCTTTACGGCCCTCCTTGGGTATTGTAGATCCACTCAACACCGATAGCTGCCCCACTGCAGTACATATCAGTAGCGGACTTGATGTATTATTCCATTCATTAGAATCTTACACAGGTGATCATTTTCATTTGAAACAGATCTCTTATCATCTCTAATCATCATCATTCTATTCGTAGCGATTCCTTACTACGAAAGAACTCCTAGGCCATCAAATCCTTTACAGCGCCCTGCTTATCAGGGCCGTAATCCAATTAGTGATGTGTTTTCACTTTGGGCATTGAGAACCACTGTAAGTTTGTTTGTTATCAATCAGATCGAAATGCTAGCTTTCTGACAATTATCTACTCTGAAATGTCAGGTAAAATACCTACCGCGAGTTGCACGTGATCCTACCGATAAGGAAGCAAAGAGTCAAATGCTGTCAGTTCTCATATCCCTTGATCTCATTCAATTCGATTACGCTCAATTGAATACTGTTTTGTAGTCTGGCTTCAACCTTTGCAGGGATTGGATTTGGAAACGCGGGTGTACATTTATGTCATGGATTTTCTTACCCTGTGAGTCTCTGGAAGTCATGCAACAACTATATACATATCTCCTTTCTAAAGTTGAACATGTTGATTGTATCTTATGTACTCAGATATCTGGACTTAACAAGAAGATTGCCAAATACAAACACTTAGGATATGAAGTTGAAGATCCATTAATTCCACATGGATTATCAGTCGCAATCACAGGTCCATCAGTCTTTAGGTTCACTGCACCTTCTTCGCCAGAAAGACATAGAGAAGCTTCAGATATCTTTAGTCCACTTACTGATGCTGAAAAAAGATTACCTGATAGTGAAATTGGAGATTTGATTCATGATCGAATTGCCAGTTTTTTATCTGAATTAGGTTTACCTAGAGGATTATCTAGACTCGGATATAATCATTCTCATCTTCCGGAAATGGTTGTTGGTACTTTACCACAGAAAAGAGTCTTGTGAGTGGTTTTGAAAGAACTTATTAAGCTGGATTCACAGTCGAATAAGAATTGATAGTCTCTGATACATGTCTCTTTTTGGTTTGGGTAAAATGAAGAGATTTGGCACCAGGTGACTTGGGAGAAGAATCATTACATAAGATATTAGAAGGAGCAATGTCATTTTAATCAATGATGCTTTATATGTACATCTCATTATCATCAAATTTGTATCAAGAGTAAATCATTATGAACACCTCCAACGCACGCCCGCAAATGTAACAAATTGGACACACATGCAAGGCGTATCTTGTGTTTTCAGACCTGGGTCACAAAACAACCATTTTGCGCGGTCTGAAATGGTGACAGCTCACCATGCTTATGAGCCACAATTTTCAGCTAAATAGGTTTCACACAATCCTTCCTTCAATAATGAAGACCCAACTGAACTTTTGGAGCAGATGGTATTGGACAACTATTGGACATAATCTTGGCAAATATGGTGACTTTATCACCACCTCTGTCTATGATCATTATCCAAGCAAGGGATTGATGAGTAGTTGGTGGCTCAATTAAGTTTGGGTTGGGCATCTTGGGCATGGGTAGGATCTCAAAAACCTCTTCCTCATGTGCACCTTGGATGGAATGGAAGCTATATGCTTCACAGCTAATTTTCTGTTTTGAGCATGTTTCTTTGGCTTGGTATTTGGTTTAGAGAACAGGGCACCTTGGAGATGCTCTAAGCAAGCCTTGAACTATTACCAATTTCCATTTCAAAATTTTTCATTACCAATCAAGTATTGTATCCTCAAAATTATTTCCCAGAAACATGTTCCTGCTTCAACTTCTTATTTATCTGGGAAATTGACAGACTTATAATTTAAGCTATGTCTCTCAAACTGTACCAAAAACTGAACTTTCTTTGCCTTTTCCAACCAATCAACAAGTACATTTCATTACAAAAATGTCCTCTGCACATTCCGACTGAAAGAAAAGGAAGCTTACTAATCTTTTGTCTCAATCCAAGCTTCTCCTTGGACCAAATGCAGGGATAGGCTAGAAGAGAGACATTGAAGGACCCTGCATTGTGAGAATCATTTGTGGGATTGATGAATGACCTGGTCATGTATGTTGGGGGAATTCTGTAGTCAACCCTAGTGACTACAGTTTGGTTGCAGGTTCTGCAATGTTGACCTGTGATCATGAAGGACTGTAACTTCCATTAAATTCTATTCACGTTTTGTTAGAGGAATAATTTTCTCTCTCTATTCTCTCGTTATGTTACTTTTATATTTTGTTTTGTATTATATATTAATTGTTAACATCTCTAATATTTACTACACAAAGGTCTACCAAGTCATTAGACTGTATGCTATGCAACTTGAGTCATGGTACAAACAAGCTACAGTGCGTGTGTGGGGGGGCCGGTAGGCCGCGGGTCTCATGACCGGGTAGGCTCTCTGCTACCAGATCTCGGGACTTATCGTCCGGAGCCTGCGGAGAGCCACCTCGGTGAGTTCTGAGATTTCGTTTCTCGCGGGATATCATCTACTCAATGGCCGGTCCACAGCACCCACGTTGACCTCTCACTGAAGTCTCTCACATGTCTAATCTTGGTTCTTTCATATATGCAGGTCTCAATCGATACTACATCTTGAGTCACATTTCGTCTACAAGTACATTCACTCTATCAACTCTTTCCTTCTTTCTTGTTTTCCTCTTTTTTTTTTTTCCGGTATTACTACTTTTCAATTCTCAACCTCTCTTATTTCCTCTTTCTGTTTCTGATCAGCTTTATTTGTCTTCATCAAGTCCCAGATATATTCGGCATCTTTAACATCTTCGTCTGTATACTTTCGTAATTAAAGTTCATACGCTTTTGACTCCCAACGACCAAATCTTATGATATCATCTAGAGGCTGACGATCGTTCCATTTAAACGTTGCACCTCCTACGCGAAAAGAATGTCCCGACAACTTGTGGTTGTTATCGTATTTCGACCAGACCTTCCTATAGATAGCCATAGCCGATGTCTTCGACAGCGTGATCAATTTCTTATTCTCGTAGTACGAAAACAATGGTAGGTGAATAGTTGGCAATGTTGATTCTTTTATGGTTCTTTGTAGTGCATTGTACGGACATAGCAGGGAGGGGATTCAATCTAGGTGCAACCATTGCACCTCTCCCGGTTTTGCTGTTTTAGCGTTGAATAAATCTACTTTGGCGTAAGTCTGATTATGTGTTATTGTATCTTTAAATGAAACCAGTCGTTTATTCTTATTATCTGAGACTAATTCACCCAATCGTGCCATCCCCCAGAATGCTACTAGGGCGACTGTCAACGCTATTCGTTCTCTCTGGTCCCCTTTCGACAACTCCTTTGCTAATTTGGCAAGATGACGGAGTTGTACCGGGTTCTTCTTCTTAGGTTGGTTCTTCAATTCGGCGTCGGCAATACTAGAGGCTTTCAACAACAACTTAACCGTCTTGTCGTTTTTGATTGGATAAGGTAGGTCGTGAAATAGGTGCCAAGACCTGATTCCGGTTATATACTTCGTAAGTGTTTTCGATGTTATTTTATGTTCTTCATTATGCGTCTGGACTACTGTCTCATCCTCTAAATTAACCTTACACTGCCTTCCTGCCCACACAATAAACTCCCATAATGTTTTCTGATTTAGGGGAAGTAACTCAATACGTGGGATTCTGTTCACTTCAGCAAATTTCTCTAATTTCGACATAGCAGTGCTGTAATTCTCAAGTGTAGTCTGGGTCCAGCCACCACTAAGCAATCTTATCTTTATTGTATCTTTCCTCCAATCAAATGACCTGGGGTTAATTGATCGAGGTCGATATTTTTTTGTGATAGGAAAATAGACAGAATGGAGCGAGATTGGTCAGTGTTTATCCTATATTTTAACTGATTCTCTTTTTTTTTTTTTCTTACTCACCCATCTATATTCTTCAAAAAGTACTTTATCTTATTCTCGTTCAGTATCATCATAAGTCAGTCTCGTTTTAAAATCGACTGAAGATCTTCAGGGATATCGATTAGGACTTCGAACGCCTTTTCTCCTTTCCGTCTGATTCCCCTAGACAGGTCGTCGGCCTTATTCTCTCCAGATGAGACTCGTTTAGCAACTATGTCACAATTTAATCTAGTAAGTTCCTGTTGTATTAAACGCCACTCTTTGTTTACGAGTTTATTACGAGATTTCCGATTTCTGATCGTCGCTTCAGTTGTGGTATTATCAGTATAGACGATAAATCGATGGTTATTGGTCGGTATAAGTTTCTCTATCATTCTCAAACCTAGTCTAACCGCAACTGTTTCAAGCCAAGCAATGTCACGTTTTTGATCTTTTTGTGACATTCCTTGTGTTTTCCATCCGTCTACAAGTTTAAACCAAGACCACCGATCTCCCACCAATATCCCGAGGCCAAAGCCTGTACTAGCGTCTCACACCCAGTCGATTTCTTTCGGTGGGATATCCGGAGTGAGTTGCAACCTATTGAATTTTGACAATTGATCGCGCCACTCTACTAATTCGACCCTTGCCTCTTCTGCAAGTTGTCTTGTCGCGTTGTGGTTATACCACGATTTGTCGAATTTGTACAGTCCCCATAGGTAGCATCTCATCGTAGGAAGTAAGTATGTCATATGGCTCAATTGCCCAACTATTTTCTCAACTTCTTTCTTGCTACACTTCTTTGACAGAATTAGTAAGTCATCAATTTTTGCTAATCTCTCTATCTTTTTCTCGTCAGGTAGTCGAACTGATTTTTCTTCCCCATTCCAGATAAAGCCGAGGTACTTTTGTTCAAGTGCCCAATTCTGGAATTTTTTGTTATTGGATTGTACGCCGAGTGCTTGAGTAACTTGCATTACGTCTTCCATTTTCAGTAAGTCACCTTCCTTCTTTACAAACATATTATCATCCACCCAACGAAAGACTTTTTCGACTCTTAACACTGACATAATTATTTCCTTCCATGCGTCAGCCATCCAGCCGAATGTACCACAGCCTGCGACTCCGCCAAAAGGGATCCGTGTGTCAATCCATATGTTGCCTTGGAAGTCTTTTATGGTCAAGAACTTCCATTGTGAATGATGAGTAAGTCCCTGTCGATATGCTTTTTCCCAATCAACAATTGCTAACCATATAATCACTTCCATGTTTTCTTTGAAGTAAGTAGCCACAGTGTTGAAGTCATCCCATGTTGTAGCGAAATCATCTTTATCCACAAACAAGTTAACGGACGGTATTTGACAATCTTCTACCTCATAATGTAAGTCTTTGAGTATTTCTCTTGATCCGTCCGTTTTCCGGTTTAATTCATCATCTTCTTCTTCACTATCTTCTGAATCCTCATTTATGTTAATTTCTTCGTGGTTTTTCCTCTTTTTCAATTTTTCTTTTTGTGTTTTTGGGTAAGATAAGTCATTGATCATCCTCAATGATCCGTCGTTATTCATCACACTTCCCATCGGATTAGATCGGAAGAAACCCCAACGCTTAAATACTGTTTCATGTGAAAAAGGTCCAAAAATTCTTCCTAACCTTCTTTCTTTATATAAGTTTTTCATTATTTTATCTTGAACTATTAGAGCTGACTTATGATTGTCTGGTGTGAACCATTTTAGGTCACCCAGCAAGTGTTGCGGTATTCCTTGATCAAAACCTGTCTTCAGTCCCAACCATACCTTCTTCCACTTATCTGTTAATTTACAATCTTCTAACAGTAGCCTCCACTCTTCTAGTTTCATTTCACACACAACGCTTTCTGGCCACCGTTCTAATGATTCCTGGGTATCCACTTTGTACTCATCGTCTCCTGTGATAGGTAATTTTGGTTGCACATTGTCGTCTCCAGTCTCTATTTGGGTCTCTCGATTTCCAGAATCGTCACTCAGATTCAAGGCAGTTCTGATGAAGTTCATTTCGGATAGCAGGTTTCAACAAAGTGGGTAGTGAACCAACAAATTTTTAGGACAGAAAGAAAACAAGCAGAACAAGGGAATAAAAACAACAATTCACAATCAGTCTTTTATTCTCAACTAACACATCTCAGACATATACAATTTTGTTTAGGCCGAGACACGATACATGATTGGTCTCTCACTTTGATCCTGACGCTATGGGTACAACAGGGTCTCCACCTTTATTTTGGTGATTCTGATTTCCTTCAGCCATTGATCTATTAAAACTTCCGTATCCGATCGCCGGACGATCACCACCTTGATTATGATAAGCTCCTCTTCCACTACTTTGATAATTGGCCTGCCCGCCACCTCTTCCACCGTGGTAAGTGTTGTGGCTATTTTGATGGTTATTATTATGGTAAGATTGCTGATTGTTGTTATGGTAAGATTGCTGATTGTTGTTATGGTAAGGTTGCTGACTATTTCTATTATAAGAAGATATACTATTTTGGTTATTAACATGATTTGACTTCTGATAAAACTGTTGTTTCTTCTGATAGTTCGGATCGTAGTTCTGTCCTTGGCTGTGATAACCTTTAGTTCTTCTAACCACTCCGCTATTATTCAAACGGTCCGGTTGATTATGCCAAACTTGTAAGTTCCTTCCAGTTAACATATCAGCATGAGTATCAACTAATGCACCGGCTGTATCCCAAGAGTTATTTTCAGGGTACACATTCCCATCAATCGGGCTTATATTCTGCATAGGACCTCCAAACACATACGGATTGTGGACATAATGGTAATCTTGAAAATGTTTAGCATCTCTCTCAGCTTGCTCAACCAATCTTTTATCAAGGGTTCCAACATCAGCCATACCTCCGTTGCTTAATCTATTCTCCCATATATTTCGACAATGAGCAATATCATACCGCATAGCTTTTTTTTTTTATGCATTGCTTAAAGTGCCTCCTGAGCCGTAGGCTATCAGGCACTGTAACTACTTGTGCTCCGCCCCAGTAAAAACCCCTGTGGGGAAAAGGTCACGTGCTGGCTGTTTAAAGTATTACAAGTGTTATTCTGGTACATGTGGTGGCGCTAAAGGATGGGGTATGACAAAATGATTATAATGGAGGGATAGGTGTTTTTGAAGGAGTTTCTTCGTCGGTGATTTTGGCCCATACCCATCGGTTTTTAAGCCTCCAGGTTGAGTTGCTGAATTGTGAGATGCACTTGAACGCCTTTGGGTTCTTGAGTATATCGGTAGATTCTGGCAATTGAAGCTCATTGATTGCCTGTAAAAGGGTTTGTCGTTGTTTTTGAAACCTGTGGCATACAAAAAGGAAATGTTCAGTCGTTTCAATACCCTCCTGGCAGTCACAGACAGGGTCAAAGTGTTGGTTATGTTTGAAGAGGTAGGAATTCAGGTATATGTGATTGGATCTGAGCTGAGTGAGTGTTGCACATTCGTGCTTGAGTAGGTCTCGTAACACGTTGATATGTTTCTTCGGTGATGGTTGTTGGCCTAGCCTCTTGATGTCTTGTGGGCTGAAGTTATTCTTGTCGAGTTTGGACCATGCCTTGATTGCGGTAGTGAATCCTGCGAGGGTGGGGGTGGACGTGAAAGTGCAGGGCAAGTCCCGTTTTGCCAAGCTATTAGCAATTTTATCGACCACTTCGTTACCTTTGACACCGCAGTGACCCGGGCACCATCTGATGGTGACTCGTGCGTTCGGGATGGCCGCTTCGAGATATCTGAGGATTTTGAAGGTTTCCCTTCGATCCATCAGAGATGCGATGTTTGGTGGGCAACTCGTAAGGTCTTTGATGACCAATTGGTTGTCGAGGATGATCGAAATCCTCCGAGTTTGCTGGGTTGCTGCTTGAAGTGCGATCGTGAGTCCTAGGTGGAC